TGAAGGTGCCGTTTTTTTGTGGAATTCTGGTTTGTAGATGGCATTTATTCTGAGGGGGTTTTATTATTGTAGGGGGTAGTGTAGGCCTGGCAGCTGGTTTGTGTTGCTAACCATTAATGTGAGGGGTGTTATTATTGTAGGGGTGGTGTTTCTTGTGTGCAAGGGGCTGGGCTGAAGCAGTGCAAGATATTGTGAGGTGGTCTCTTTATTGTAGGGGGGTGTCCTAGCTAGCAAAGCTGCAGTACTAGGTACCATGCAGCAATGAAAACCTAAGCCTTTCAGTGCAAACCCACAAGAGCAGAACACAAGTTCGGGATTGCTGCAGCAATAAAAGTTTCCAAGCTTTTGGGAATGATGGGGTGGAGGTGCTGCTGCGCTGCTGGTTCTGATATTATTGTGAGGTGATCTCTTTATTGTAGGGGTGTGTCCTAGCTAGCAGGCCTGCAGTACTAGACACCATGCAGCAATGAAAACCGAAGCTTTTCAGTGCAAACCCACAAGAGCAGAACGCAAGTTTGGGGTTGCTGCAGCAATAAAAGTTTCCAAGCTTTTGGGAATGATGGGGTGCAGGTGCTGCTGCACTGCTGGTGCTGATATTATTGCGAGGTGGTCTCTTTAATATATTGTAGGGGGGTGTCCTAGTCAGCAGGGCTGCAGTACTAGGCACCATGCAGCAATGAACACCTAAGCTTTTCAGTGCAAACCCACAAGAGCAGAACACAAGTTTGGGGTTGCTGCAGCAATAAAAGTTTCCAAGCTTTTGGGAATGATGGGGTGCAGGTGCTGCTGCACTGCTGGTGCTGATATTATTGCGAGGTGGTCTCTTTATTGTAGGGGGGTGTCCTAGTCAGCAGGGCTGCAGTACTAGGCACCATGCAGCAATGAAAACCGAAGCTTTTCAGTGCAAACCCACAAGAGCAGAACACAAGTTCGGGATTGCTGCAGCAATAAAAGTTTCCAAGCTTTTGGGAATGATGGGGTGGAGGTGCTGCTGCACTGCTGGTGCTGATATTATTGTGAGGTGGTCTCTTTATTGTAGGGGTGTGTCCTAGCTAGCAGGCCTGCAGTACTAGACACCATGCAGCAATGAAAACCCCAGCTTTTCCGTGCAAACCCACAAGAGCAGAACACAAGTTTGGGGTTGCTGCAGCAATAAAAGTTTCCAAGCTTTTGGGAATGATGGGGTGCAGGTGCTGCTGCTGCTGGTGCTGATATTATTGTGAGGTGGTCTCTTTATTGTAGGGGGGTGTCCTAGCTAGCAAAGCTGCAGTACTAGGTACCATGCAGCAATGAAAACCTAAGCTTTTCAGTGCAAACCCACAAGAGCAGAACACAAGTTCGGGATTGCTGCAGCAATAAAAGTTTCCAAGCTTTTGGGAATGATGGGGTGGAGGTGCTGCTGCGCTGCTGGTGCTGATATTATTGTGAGGTGGTCTCTTTATTGTAGGGGTGTGTCCTAGCTAGCAGGCCTGCAGTACTAGGACACCATGCAGCAATGAAAACCGAAGCTTTTCAGTGCAAACCCACAAGAGCAGAACACAAGTTCGGGATTGCTGCAGCAATAAAAGTTTCCAAGCTTTTGGGAATGATGGGGTGCAGGTGCTGCTGCACTGCTTGTGCTGGTATTATTGCGAGGTGGTCTCTTTATTGTAGGGGGGTGTCCTAGCTAGCAGGCCTGCAGTACTAGACACCATGCAGCAATGAAAACCGAAGCTTTTCAGTGCAAACCCACAAGAGCAGAACACAAGTTTGGGGTTGCTGCAGCAATAAAAGTTTCCAAGCTTTTGGGAATGATGGGGTGCAGGTGCTGCTGCACTGCTGGTGCTGATATTATTGCGAGGTGGTCTCTTTATTGTAGGGGGGTGTCCTAGTCAGCAGGGCTGCAGTACTAGGCACCATGCAGCAATGAAAACCTAAGCTTTTCAGTGCAAACCCACAAGAGCAGAACACAAGTTCGGGATTGCTGCAGCAATAAAAGTTTCCAAGCTTTTGGGAATGATGGGGTGGAGGTGCTGCTGCACTGCTGGTGCTGATATTATTGTGAGGTGGTCTCTTTATTGTAGGGGTGTGTCCTAGCTAGCAGGCCTGCAGTACTAGACACCATGCAGCAATGAAAGCCCCAGCTTTTCCGTGCAAACCCACAAGAGCAGAACACAAGTTTGGGATTGCTGCAGCAATAAAAGTTTCCAAGCTTTTGGGAATGATGGGGCGAGGTGCTGCTGCTGCTGGTGCTGATATTATTGTGAGGTGGTCTCTTTATTGTAGGGGTGTGTCCTAGCTAGCAGGCCTGCAGTACTAGGCACCGTGCAGCAATGAAAACCGAAGCTTTTCAGTGCAAACCCACAAGAGCAGAACACAAGTTCGGGATTGCTGCAGCAATAAAAGTTTCCAAGCTTTTGGGAATGATGGGGTGGAGGTGCTGCTGCGCTGCTGGTGCTGATATTATTGTGAGGTGGTCTCTTTATTGTAGGGGTGTGTCCTAGCTAGCAGGCCTGCAGTACTAGGCACCGTGCAGCAATGAAAACCGAAGCTTTTCAGTGCAAACCCAAAAGAGCAGAACACAAGTTTGGGGTTGCTGCAGCAATAAAAGTTTCCAAGCTTGTGGGAATGATGGGGTGCAGGTGCTGCTGCGCTGCTTGTGCTGGTATTATTGTGAGGTGGTCTCTTTATTGTAGGGGGTGTCCTAGTTAGCAGGGCTGCAGTACTAGGTACCATGCAGCAATGAAAGTTTAAGCTTTTCAGTGCAAACCCACAAGAGCAGAACACAAGTTCGGGATTGCTGCAGCAATAAAAGTTTCCAAGCTTTTGGGAATGATGGGGTGCAGGTGCTGCTGCACTGCTTGTGCTGGTATTATTGTGAGGTCTCTTTATTGTAGGGGGGTGTCCTAGCTAGCAGGGCTGCAGTGCCCTGGTATTATTGTGAGGTGGTCTTTTTATTGTGAAGAGGGCCAGTTAGTGTAAGCTTCGAAATAGATGCTTGTTGATGAGATTAGGCAGTGGCATGGAATGCAGTGCAGCTCAAAGAGGTGTAGAATAAAGTTGCTGAGGTCTATCGTGTAGCATTGCAGGAAGCGAGTGCAAGCATTTGGCCAGGAAAAGTGCAGATGTGAGAGGGTGCACCTTGCAGTGCTCAAGATTTGCGCTGCAGCTTGCAGCATGTCCATTGCTTATGCTGCAGGCAGATGAGGAAGGCAAAGCGCTGAAGAGAAGACAGCTGAAGCCTCACTTGCAGGCGAGACTGACTTGAAGGAATAATTACTGGAAGACCTACAAGGGCTGAAATGTTTGTGTTGTTTGTTTCACACTGCTGGTTCTTTATTCCGGGGTGGTCTTGTTATTGTAGGGGCTTCCTCTTTGTAGATATGGCAGTGCAGCTTGCTTTTCATTGCAGGCACGCTTGCTGGCAGAGGATGCTGCTGCTGCGGCCACCATGCAGTTTAGCGGACAAAATGCAACTGTGCGAGCAGTCTGCAGCAAGGGCAGTCTTTGCTGTGAAGAAGCTAAAGCAATACTCAAGCATGAAGAGGACTGTAGTATGACAGTGCAGGAATGATTTTTCTGGTAGCTAAAGCGTGCAGGAGCATAGTTGTAGGGGGGGTTGCTTTGATGTGGGGGAGGCAGTGCTGGAGTCCAAGAAGCCTTGTGTTTGTTTGCTTGGCCACCGGGTTTGAATTGCAATTAGTATTGCGGAGATTAAAACTAGTATTCGAATTTTGGGAGTTCTGGCCTCGGAAAAGTTATTATTCCGGGGGGATTTCTTGTGTCAACTGGGGCACCAAGACTAAACTATGTATTGGCTAATTAAAAATAAGTATTGGATTTTTTCTGGCCCGGGGCGAGAAAAAGTCGTTATTCCGGGGGTATTTATTCCTCAAGTCCTAAGATTAGGCTTTAGTGAAAGATGAACATGTTTCTCGCATAAGATTTTGTGTTGTAATTGCGAGGGGCCCTTTCAGCAGTAGAGAAGAGATGGTGCAGCCATCCCTTGACAAGCCAGCCCTCTCACCCAAGTGGCGAGCTTGGCCATGAACGTCGAGGTGGCGTAGAAGAGCGGCAGACCCACGCAGCGAAGTCCAACCGCCCCATAACCCTAGGCCTACTGCAAAAAGTTAATCCCTGCAGCCCTTCGACCCCACTTCCAACTCCGAAAGCTGGTGCCCAGAACCATGTAGAGGATTGAAAAAGTCGTTTTTGGTGGTGCCCGGGCATTTTGATTGTGTCTCAAGCGGCGTTGCGAAGGCACGTGCAAGACGTGCCGCGGGAGACGGCAACCCCAACGGCATCGCGCCCGCACTGGCATCCCATTGCAGAACACGCAGTCGGCGCACGGGCGCCACGAGCATTCCCGCAACACGGGCATGGGTGCACGAGCACCACGGGCACCACGGGCGGCACGGGCAGCACGGGCAGCACGGGCACGGGCTCACGGGCCCACGGGCTTCACGGGCACCACGGGGCAATGGGATCCACTTTTTCGAGCCACCGCCATATCTTCAAGCCAACCTTCTGGAGGTTCTCTAGCCCAAGTCATGAGTCATGAGTGTGTCGGTTTTGAGGATACCCCTTTTTCTGTTGTTGTGGTTTACAGGCAAACTGCCAGGAAAGCCGTTTTGGGGGTTCCCCCATTTGAAGACAAACTTCTTTTTGGAGGTTTTGAAGGAATCCCACCAGGACAATCGAAGCCATTTTGGGGGTCTGTTGCGACAAACCCCTCGCAAATTTGAACATTTAGACCTTCGGACAAATGTTTGTTCATCCCGTTTTTTGGTGTTTTGTTTTCGGAGAACGAGGACAACCGTTGCGCCATTTGGGGGGGTTTTCCATTAAAAACTTTCATTTGCTTAAGAATATCTGTTATTTTTATTTTTCCCTTGTTTGCTTGAAAAGAACATTATATTATTTTCATTTTTCCGGGGGTCTTAACCAAATGGAAGTAAGACCAAAACCCCCCCTCTCCATTTTAAGACCACGGGCCCCGGACCAAACAAATGCTTCCGCAGGCAGGGCTGGCAATGCCGAAGCTGCGGCGTGGTGCTGTGCCACGCCTGCGCGGCCGAGTCGGACCTGGACTACTGCGCCAAGAAGTCCCAGTGAGCCGAGCCGCGAGCCGCAGCGAGCGAGCCGATAGGAGCGGTGGCCGAAGGAGTCGGTCTACCAAGGGAAAGTTGCGGTAGGTCAACTACGTTGCCCAGCTAAGTGCCCTTTTACCGTTTCTTTTTTGGTTGGGAGAGTTCCAACCTACCAAGATAGACTATACAGAAAAAAGTTGGTACCCTTCTTCTAACCTCTCTACTGGAGGACCTAGTTAATGTTGAAATGGGTGGAAAAGAGCACACAGGGTGTCATAGGAGGGGTAATTTCCCCCCAAAACTGCTGGGGTTCCTTTTGGTTTCCCTTCAAATTGTTATTAAAACCAAGTACCAGCAAGGAAGGGGACACCCATCTAAGATCGAAAACGGTGAGCCCGCTTTTGGTTGGTATATAGGGAACCACCAGGAAACAACAATTCCTACAGCTTTGCTTTGGAACCAACAGCAGACGAGAAGGGATGAGGTGATTTGCAACACTTGTTCACAGTGCACTTGGCAAGCCGCAAAGACGAAAATTGAAATTGGAGTGTTTTCCTACAGCTCTCAGTTGCCCAGTGGTGCCCTTTTTGCTCTCAGTTGCCCAGTGGTGCCGTTTTTTCATTTTTTTGGGCGAAGGTCCCCCTTTAAAACAACCAACCCAAAAAAGGGTGCCCTTTTTTTCCCATGGCCACTGGGCTTTTGAGAGCTTGAAGGCGAATATTGCAACAATGGGGGTTTTGAAACTGAAGCCCGAGGAATGAGAATTGACGAAGCATGACTGAAAGCTAGATTGTTCATACTCTGTGATCTCTGAACTACGATTTTAGCCAGTTGATGGAGAGTCAAAGAATATGTTTTTGGGGGCAAAAGCTGAGGCAGCATTGGCCATGTTTCCCGAGTTTGTTGGTGGTCTGAACACCACCTCAAACCCTTATTGTAGGGGGTTCTTCCTGTCCTCATGGGAACAGGAAGTGCCATCTCTAGTGTTGGGAACCGAGCTTTGGTGACTCAAATGAGCGACGCCCAAGCTGTCCCAACATCTCAGTAAATGTCGTGGCAATCCACCGTCGAATCTCTGGTGGCCTGGACTTTTGCGCTTTGTCTTCATGTGCCTGGGAACAACAGAAGTGTAAAACCCACCGCTTTGGTCATGATTTTCTTTTATTTAGGGGCAAAATGGAGGGAGTTGATAGGTGCTCAATTCCAAAAGCACAGCGTCTGGGGCTGGGAGAACTGTTGAACTTTCCGCATGCGATCGTTGGATGGTGTGCTCTCATTTGCACGGACCGAGATAGGGTCAATGATCCTAGTGGTGGGCAAGAGGGAGTTTAGGGATGATGTGGTCTTTTGTTAAATTGGACCCTCGAAAAAGTATCGACTTATTGTGGTTGCTTCTTTTTTAAGCATTATTTTTTGGGGGAGGGTTCCCCCACTAAAATAGACGACAGAAAAAAGGCTACCCTTATTCTATCCTCTCTACTGGAGGACCTAGTAAGGTATCACCGCCGTGGCACTGTCGGTCCCAAGATACTGTGGAGGCCAACACCTGTCCAGGGCACCGGGAGGCAGGGTAGGGCCAATCCAATGTCTCGAAGACTGGCCGGCCATGACTCTAACTGGAGCCGATTGAAGAGGCTGAAGATGTCGACCTTCACTTGGTTTACGGTTGCAACTCATTTGTTTGCAACTGGGTGCCTCCAACAGCCATCTTGGGGTATGCGTTCCGGATTGATTTGGACAGTTTTCCGATGGTTTTTGTGGGTCCCGCCTCTTCGAGACATTCCCCGATTATGTTTCTCTTCGCGCAGAGCAGGAATCGAGCCCGGGGTGGGAGAATTTCTATCGTTTTGCTTCAGTTGCATGAGGCCTCTTTACTGATGCCGGTGTGTAGCTACTTTGGATCTGTCTGGGTGAAGCAGCGTTCGTGTCAGTTGACACCATGCCGAGTCGATGGATGGAGCCATCTTGAGAGCGGCTCATAGGGAGACGGCCACCACGCGGTTTTGGCTCCTGCGCACGGCAACCACTCACAAAGTGATCGCTAGCCGAGCGTGTCTGCAGAAGGGGGGCGCAAAACGCAAAACGCCCGACCGCTTGACTCGCTTGCTACGTTCAGTTGGTAGAAAACCTGTTTCATTCCGAAAAGGGGGGGGTCAAATCATAGGATCAACCCCCTTGTTGGCTGGCCCCGATCGATGACTCCCCCTGACGTCCACATCAGGGGCGTTTGGAGGAAAGCAGGCTGGAGGGGCTCATGAGAGAAACGGCCATTTGGACGACTTAAGCAATCTCTTCACTGTTTGCCCTGTTGGTTTTCCTTTCTTTTCTACAATTCCCAGCGAATCGTTGGTTTAGTGGTGTCCATTTCACCCAAAGCCAACCTCACTTTCAGATCAGAAACCGGACAGCCCATCTTCTGCTTTTTTGGTTTCAACTGGGTGCTTGGTTCAACTTATGCTTTTCTTGGTTTGGTGGGTGGCCATTTAGCCCACTTTTGGCAGATCAGACAATGAACATCCCATCGTTTGCTTTTTGGTTTCAACTGGGCGCTCTTTTTTTTGGAGCAATGCTGGCTTGGTGGTGTTTCTAGAGCTCATGCTGTTGAGAAGTCCCGTCTTTTGTCGGTTTCAACTGGGTGTTCTTTTTGAGGCACCCCCTGGTTTGGTCCTGTCTAGACTTAGGATACATTTGTTTACATCCTATGGACTCAAAGTGAAGCAAGCAATAAACTCTACATTCTATGGGGCCCAACTCTCATGAAGAGAAGCCTCAAAAAAACTGGGCTTCACCTGGGTGTTGTTTTTTTGGAGGCGCCCCCTCGTCTGGTGTTTTTTCAGCCCATGGGCAGGGCCCTGGGACCCCTGGGGCCCGACCGCGACACGAGAGGTGCGGTCTGCGAGCTTGACTTCGGTCTCAAGGCCCGGCACCTTTTGGGCGCACCGAAAAGGAAGGGCGTGTGTGTGTTTTTTTTTGGGGGGGTGTTGTTTGTTTTGCGTGGCTGATTTTTTCCAATTTTTGTATTAAAAAAAATGAAATGAAATAGAACAGCGTCATGACCTTTGTTGTGGCTTTTGTGGCATTTTCCGCGGCCTCCAGCGCTTGGCCGAGAGAGCTCGCTCGCGTTACGCCTGAGGAATTTGACCCCACGGCTATTTCAACCCCGGTTTAGTAATAGGAGGGTGTGCCTGGTGAAATGTGGGTTTAATCATCACTTTTGGAGGGGCCAAAAACCACCCCCCAGCTAATTAATCTGGGGGTGTCGGATTCCCCACAAGTTAAATCCAGGGAGACCTTTCTTTTTCCAAGGCCACCTGCTATGCCAAGCCAAGGTTGCAGGGTGTGTGCAGAATGAATCATTCAGGGGTGAACCCCGAATCAACCAAGGTAAATGGATGTGTCTTTTTTTGCCGCAATGGAACCGGCTGTCCTTGCAGCTTTCCCTCGTTTTGGTTTTCGGCGGCGGGTTCATGATTTTCAAGATTCTACTTCTGATGGTTCACGATTCAGGGTGAAAAATATGATCACAAGGGTAATCTCTGGGGACACCGTTTTTCCAAGCCTCTTTGTTGCGCTCCATCTTGCGTTTTGGTTTGGCCTGAAAAACAGGTTGGCGGTGGTCCCTAATTGAGATCTTTCGCTGTGCGATTCAGCTGCCTTGCCGCTGTCAGTCTGCAGCAAGTTTCAAGCGCTTGGGTATCCTTTGGATCGTGTTTCTAGACAAAAGTAGATGGGGTCCGCTGGTTTAGGTTGGTTTTATGCCATCCCTCCTGTCCACAAATGTTTTGCACCCACCAAATCCCATTTGGATTGGTATGCCATCTTACCAGGGAAACTCATCTATGTTCACCTACGTTTTTGTGGGACGCCTCACCTTAGCTTGAAATTTGTTGCCTTGGGCCGTGGATGGAGGATGGCAGAGGATCAGATCCCAAAGGTTTGGACAAAGGCACACCAAAGACATGAAGTTGCTAAGTCTGGGGCCCGGGGTCATTCTTTGGACGGTTTCTGGCAGGCAAAGTCAGAAACTGGGGTGTGCGTTCCGGATTGATTTGGACAGTTTTCCGATGGTTTTTGTGGTGGCCTTTTTAACCTGCCACTTGGGAGGTGACTTTGGTAGTGCTGAAATAAATTGGGCCTGCAAGTCGTTGATGATGCTTCTCCATAGAGCTGCAGTGGATGCTGCTGATGCGCCACTTTGGTTTTCGTGGCAGGTTTGTCCAACCAAGACTTACGGGTCAAAAGTAGTCTAACCCCTCAATGGGTTGCCCTGGTAAATGGAAACGTGGACTAAAATTCCTGCGGCCCCTGTCCTGGTTTAATTTTGGACTCATAGACAGATGAGTGGATTTCCCTTCAACGATTGGATTCAGATCGAGCTGTAGGACACCAATCCAAGCCAATGAGAGGGAAGCTGAAAACATGACTGGTATGATGTAACATTCATAGGTGTTCTTGTGTGTTCAGTGATCATTCACCAATGGACTCATCTATTCTTCGAAGGAATCTGCAAGTCAAATACCCAATGGTTCTTTTAGAGGGAAGCTGGACAATTACGCATACTTGCGCCAAGTCTCTGAATTGTTGAGACCTCACGTTCAACCTTTTTCCCCAGATAGCTGAAAGCTATGGGGTTCTAACTTCTAATAAGGAGGGGAAAGTGCCTTGCGAGATTGACGGCTGGGTGCTAGGGGCATGCAGATTGGGGTGCTGGTGCGTGCGCTGTTTTGGTGTGAGGGTGTTATTCGGGGTGCTGGAGGTGCTGGTGACGACGCGGGCGCATTTTTGCGAGATTGAGGGCAGGGGCTAGGGGGCATGCAGTTTGGGGTGCTGGTGCAGTTGTTCGCTATCTGGGATCTATGCAGGTGTATTTTTTTGTGTACGGACCGGACTTCGTTTGTATGGTGTTGAAAGGGATCACCCGGAAACCACTTTTGGCCCAACTTGATTTCCTCACTTCCTGAGTGCCTGGACTTTATGCTTTTTGGAAACTTTAGTGGCACTCAAAAGTTTGGATTTTTTTGGGGCCACCCAGGAAGTGAGTTTCAGGAAACTGTAGGGTAGGCGTCAAACATCGGGGAATCCCCGAAAGGTCTTCGGTTGTCTTCTGGGTTTCCCTTACAAAACAATCTTGGCAAGGGCGCCAAGAAAGACACCACCGTGGGGCAGGTCTTCGCTTCTCCCTCCCCCCAGAAAGCCTAAATAAGAAACCATTCGCCAGGACTCCAGCCTGCATGTGCTGGTGCTGCCCAGCTCGGAGGCGAAGGGCTGACGGGTGGGTGCCGTGTTTGGGGGTGGTTTTGAAGTGAGACAACATGGAGTTTGCCCCATTTGGAGGGCCCAAAATGGATGGTCTCCCTGAAACTTGTTAGTGTTCTTTCTGCTAAAACATGGGATTTTGCGTAAACTGGATGGTTTCCCCGAAACTGTTTATTGTTCTATGGTACTTTCCGCTAAAACAGAAGGATGTCCTACGATAGTTGCAGACTGGAAAGGAAAATGACAATTGAATGGGCGGACATGACTCCAAGTCAATGATGCCCAGCGGGTCCCCGATATTCGGGTGTTTTATTTTTGAGGGCACTCGGTGTTGGGTGGGTTTAAAGGGAAGCCGAAAAGGAAAACCGCCCATTTTGTTGGGTCCAGCCTAAAAAAGACAAATCCTGCACCCACGTGGAAGCGCAGAGCTTCTTTCAGGCCAGCTGTCTCCAACCGGGCAACTTTCAGCACTTCCACACGGCTGCGTGTAAAAAGTAGGTGCCCAAAGCTGGGCATGTCCCTCAATCCGGTGTCACTCTGAACACACTCACCAGAAAGGTCGTGTTGCCACTTGTTCAAAGCAACTTTTGCCACCCACCGACCAGGGACTTTGCTTTTTGAGTTTTCCCCCCCCTCCGCAAAATCACCAGGCGGTGCTGGAGGCGGCGGCTGCGGCGATAACAAAGGCGAAGGCGGCAGGGCAGAAGGCGGGGTGGGGGCAGTGTGAAGGAGGAGGGGTTGGGGAGAGTGGGGGAGGGGTTGGGGAGGGTGGGGGAGGGAGTGGGGGAGGGTGTGTCTTTGTTTGAGGCTCGGTCCTTTTTGAGAATTGGTTCAAAGGTAAAACAAGAGGAAGCCACCCATTTCGGAGCTCCCCTTTGAGATACACCATACACCCGTTTTATGACCTCAATGTTTCTCAAAATGAGCGCCTTCCAAATGGCGAATGTTTTTGTGGTGCCCATTGTGAGAACCACTCAAAGGGGTCCCATTTTGAGAACCCCCTTGGTTCTAACAAATAGGTTCTGAGATGCTACCGAGTCTCAGGTTAAAGGAATGTCTGCATCCCATCCTAGCCCATTGAGGGTCGCCCAATGTTGACTTCGTCAACCGCTTTCGCTTTCGAGGGTCTTTGCCCTCCAAATGGAAGCTAACGATCGGATTTCGGAAGACAACTGCACTTCTTTGCTGGAGGGTATCCTTTTCAGGGACCGACCGGACACCTACTTCTTTTCTTTTCGTTCAGAGTTTCTCGAAATGGTGGACCAGCTTTTTGGTATTCAAAGAGAATCAAGCTAAGCATTCCAGGGGACTCTGTTTCTGGTCACTTTTTATCCCGCACGTTTTTCCCGTGAGGTCTTTGTCTCCCTCTCGCTGCCACCGGAGATCTTGGATTCTCTGGACCAGAAGGAGGCAGGATTGGGCTTGCTGTGGAAAGTTGGATTTTTGATTCCACTTTCTGTGATACTGTGGATGGACGAAATCCGTCCGCACCACTTTGAAATGATGGGAAACCAGTGTTTGATATGGCATATACAGGGGAATCCTTATTTCAGGGTTTCTGAGGTGGTGCAGGATTTCGTCCATCCACAGAATCAAGGGAATCCCCTCGAAGACAGAGTAGTCTTGCAAATGGCCCGCTTCGGCATCCCAGAAAGAGCAAACTTGTCGATCCTTTTTTTCGGAATGGACATAGAAGCCCTGTATTTCAACACCAGCCTGTTTTGGGGACCAAGACACGTTTTGGCCACCCAAGAAAGGGCCACCAGTTTTTGGCACGCCCAAACGCCCGAAGCGCTCTGAAACGCGGGCTGCCGGCTGCCGGGTTTCTGCCGGCTCGAGTCTCGAGGCGTCGGATGCTCGCCGCGTGGAGCGGCACCTGGGGGGCTACGTGGACGCGGTGAAGGAGGCGCTGAAGGAGGTGGACTTGGTGTGGCTGCCCTACGCCGCCTTCAAGACCGGATCTCAGGGGGGCAGGGGGAGGGGGAGATGGACCGGATTCTCAGGGGAGAGGGGGGAGAGGGGGGAGAGCGGGGCAGGGATGGGCGAAGGACAGACAGGAGATTCAGATGCCAGGGGAGAGGGGGAGAGAGCGGGGGAGGGATGGGCGAAGGACAGACAGGAGACTAAAGAGAGAAGCAGCCATTAAATATGAATGAATAAGTTTACAAGTTTGATGATGACGTTGGACATAAGCGTGTGTGTGTGTGTGTGTGTGTGTCTTCTACCTTGGGGGGGGAGAGGTGCCTTTTGTGCCGCTTTCCGCGCGTGCACGCGGGCAGGAAGCAGTTCTGGGCCGGCACGCAGAAAATGCTGGAGAAGAAGAAGTGGGCCTATGGGGTGCACGCGGAGGCGGTTCGCTCGCGCGCGTGTTGCGCGAGCCACAATCAGAACCGGCAAAACTGGGCGGGGGACAAACAAATTCCCCCTTCCCTGCAAACATGGAGGTGCAGAGGCTTTTGACTGCATTCAGTTCCGGAGGTTCAAGGAATGTTTGGTAGGACTCTATCTATATACTTGGGGCCCTGTGGGTAATTACCACTTTTGGGTAGGTCAAAAGTAAACCACCAGGGGACCACAGGTTTTAGTCATTGTTTCCATCTACCAGGGTGCCATTTTGGGGTTACCACCCTATTTTTGAGCCACGCCGTGTGTTAGCAGCAGCAGTTGCACCCAGACAGATTGGACGAGAGGTTGTGCAGTCCAACAGATGCGGAGAAGTGTGGATGTGTCATGTTTCGAGGGCACCCTTTTTGGGAAGGTTTGAAAGCAAAACCAAAGGAACCCCGGTGTCCCTTTTTTCAGACCGTCTTTCGTTGGTTTGTCTCAAAGGGAACTTTCCCAACAAAAATCAGGGTTCCTGTTGGTTTCCCGTTTTCACCGCCTTTTCGACCAACTTCACCTCAAAAAGAAAGATTTGCACACCGAGCCCCACTCTTTTGCAGGAATAGGCGGTGTCTTGTCTGGGGGTCTCTCCAGGGCCCCTAACCCAAAACTTGACACACAAGACTTACCAGCTTCACCTCGAGAAGAAAAACAGTTGGACACCGAGCCAGACTTCTCCCTAATCGGCTTCGCTCGGCTCGCAGGTGGGTCAAGCCTCGGTGGCCAAGAAGCTGCTGGACCGGTCCCCCAGGCCAACTGCCTGGCTCACCGCGGACGACCTGCTGCGCCCCGCCCACGAGGCGAGTCACTCGCCGGGGGGACGTCAGACTCGTCTTGGTGGCCCGGCGTCAAGGACCCAAGGTGTTCAACTTAGCCTTTTGGCCTTTTAGTGGGTTGAGTGGTTGGATTTGCGAATTTCAGCCAAGGTTATTCACTTTTAGCGGGGGATCTGAGGGCCCTGACTTGTGGCAGTCAAGTCTAGGTCCCCAACCCTTTTTCGGCTGGCAGGGTTCCAAGCGACTAAAATCGGCTACAGAGAAAAAAAAGGGTACCAACTTATTTTCTAATCCCTAGTGGAGGACCTAGTTCAGACTTTTCGGAAAAGCCTCAAGTGAGAATTCAACAGTTAAGTGGACTCAGCCAAGCCCGGGATCGCCTGATCTTGCCACTGGTTTTGACTGACCCGGCACCTCAGGCTTTGGGGGGTTCCCTGTGAGCGCCCGGATTTACGCCATAGAATTGCCTTACGAATCCCGGGTTGCCCCTAGAACCTGGTTCTCTGGACCTCACCCCAAAACTCACTCTGGAATTCTCGTAGAGACAAAGCCGGCGAGGCTATGTTGACCCCAGATTCCTAAACCCGTCCGAGCAATTCATAGCTTCTCCAAAACTGATGAACCATTTCTGGAGACATCCTCTATGGAGCAGAGAAAAAATCTGTAAAAAAGGGGGTCTCTCCATTGCCACCGGGGATACCCTCTATTAATCGACTGGGCAAAACAAAAATCTGAGGTTCCCCTCCCCTCTCCCCGCTCCAAAACGGGCCTGCCGACGTTCCGCGTCCCGCGTCCAGGCCGCCGTGGCAGCAGCACTGGACTTGGGCGTCGCGTGCGTCTCCTTGCCGCGGAAGGCGAGGATACGGGGCTCGCCTCGGAAAAGCGGCGGGACGCGGTTTTTTGTGTTCTGTTTTTTGGAGCGTACCTAAATCCCCCCCAGCTAGGTGCCCTTCTCAGCCTTTTTTGGGGCTCGGTGCGGAACGCGTGAAGCTTTTGTTGTGTGTTTTGTTTCTTTTTGAGCGTACCTAGGTCCCCCAGTAGTGCCCTTCTCTCCTCGTTTTTGGGGAGGGGACCCCCCTACTAAAATAGGCTACAGAAAAAAGTTGGACCCTTATTCTAACCTCTCTACTGGAGGACCTAGGTACCTTTCAGCTTGGTTCAAAGGGAAACTGACAGGAACATGTGTTGACACATATACCGAAATGTAGCCACAACTTGACCACCTGTTCTTGGGCATTATGGAAATTGGCGTGTTCGGAGATGCGCGTGATAAAGGGGTGGACCAGGTCCTTAACAAAACTTTTGCGCATTTTGCTTGGATGTTAGGACTTCAACTTTTTGTCAACTAATGGGTTTTCCATTAAACCACTAAAAGTTAAACTTTTAGCAGGGGAGCAGAAAGCAACCGAGAAAAGGCACCTGTGTGGGGTACTTGGCAGAGTTGTTTCCTCTTGGAGGGACCAAATCCTTGTCACGTGTTTTTTGAGAGAGGGAATGTCTGTCACCAGTCCACCGTTGGAACACCTCCCTGCCCCAAAAAGCAGGCCTTTGGGCGTAAAACCGTTTTCTGGCTCTTGCTCAGAGAATGAGACATGGAACGACCCAAAGAAAAATCCAGCCGACTGGTGGTGTTCCTTTATTCGGGAATCTCAAGACGTATCGCACCAGCAGCTGTTTCTCTACAGCATTGATGCTTGGTTTTTTCAGACGTGTACGGCCGACATCCTGAGGCATTGGCCAGGGTCACCAGAGATTGTTTGATTTTCCAGCTCTCGGCAGACAGCGCATCTCAATCATCCGTGAATTCAAGTTCATTTGATATTACATGATATATCTACATAAATATCATCCCCACACTAGTTCCTCTTTGTGCGTGCTATCTTTTTACCAAAGCAGACTGCTTTTTAGTTGGCTGTATTTTCGGTTATATCCTCGCAATGGCCGTGGTGTGTTGTGGTTATTTCTATCTTCCCTACCCGTCGATATCTTCCACCGACCGTTGCGAGTTGAGAGGCCCCCGGAAGCCTCGCGGAGCTCTACTTCCGCAGCGCCGGCTTCGAGGCGCGAGCGAAGGCGAGCGCGCGGGTTGAAGACGTGGTGCGCCGTGAATTTGGTGCTTCTGCCAAGAAAATCTTTCCTGTTTTTGTTTGTTTGGTTCTGTTCTGCTTTTTTTTTGTTGGATTCTTTCTCCCCGGAGAAAAAGGGATAGCATGAAAAAGACCAGCTGACATGGCTATGAGTTTCCAATATGGAAGACCCTCAGAAAATGCTGGATGTTGCTCCCCGATTTGAATGGTGTCCGCCAAAGGGTATTGGGCTAGAAAGAATGCCCCAGGGGGAGCCAACTGGATCTGCCAGAAAACGCGGGCCAAGGCGTCCCGTTTAAACATGGTCGACTTGTGCATACAATGTTTTGTGATGTCTCAATTTTGTTTCAAACAACCCAGCGCCATTCTAGTTTTTTAGCCCACAACTAGGGACTCAGCTTCCCAATTGTTGGTTTGGATTGGTTGTGACGTTGGGAGATACGTTCCCCACTTGGCTTCAAAAGGAACCAGGGTTCAAACCCAGCCACCAAACCACCAATAAAGGGGCATCTGAATACAGGCGATTTTGCAGCCAGCCCTCAAAACAGCAACACATGAAGAAAGAAGGTTGCAAAATAGACCGTGTCCATATACGGTAGGGGGAGCACGCGCAAAAAGTGGTCGCTGAGGGAAGGGGTTCAGCGGTTTGGATTGGTTTGGATGTCAGGGATACCTTCTCTCCAACAATCATGAAAGTGAATAGGGGGCCAAATGTGAAAAGAAAAAGTCGTCTTCCGAAAGTAGTCTTCCAAAACGGCTTGTCCCCTCCGGGTAGGTGGTTTCCTTTTGGTTTTCTTTTGGTGTCCTTTTGGTGTGCTTTTGGTTTCCTTTCAACCCCAACTATCAAAATTCACAATAAAGGGCTCCGATTTTGCTATTCTGCGGCACCGCCGGTTTCAGGAGGCCCAGTTACGCGATCCAGGCACGTCGCGCACGGCGCATCCGCAGGCGCCGTCTTCCGCCGCGGCAGTGCAGCACGCCTGGCACCGGGGCATGGCCGCGGTGCTCCGGGGGAAACTCGTTGCGAGCGAGGCGCGCCTCGTTGGGCTCGTTTTGGGTGTGTCCTCCGTTGGGTGTGTTCCCAAAACCGCAAAAAGCACGGTGTTCAACTGTTGGTGCCCCTGAAAAAAAAAGCATAGAAACAAAGGTGCCTTCAAAAAAGAGACCTTTTTGTTTTGGAGGTTCCTTTGCAAAAGCCAAGTACCGAGGCAATACCCCTTCCCTGTGGCACCTCAAAACACAGAATGCTTGTTCAAAAAGGGCCCTGATCGCTACACCCCTTTTATTCAAAGGATGGAGGGTTTTGCCTCAAGAGTGGTAAGTGGGATCATTGTTGCGGGGAGCTTCGACCAGCAAAGACTTCTAGGTCCCCCAGTGCCCTTCTCTCGCCTTGTTTTGGGAGGGTTCCAGGGTTCCCCTGCTAAAATGGACTACAGAAAGGGCACCTCTCTGTTGGGCCTAGTTTGGTGTGAAAAATCGCCCCATCCCAGGAGTTCGGTGCAGTTTTTTTTTTCATAGGACCGGTGTGAGGGAGGCAGCAAGAGTCGGTGGCTCGAGTTTCCCTCACGCCGGAAAACGTTTGGACGAAACATTGGCTCTTGCTTGCCCCCAGAGATGCACAGGGGCCAGGTAGGTTCTTTGCTGGTTGAAGTTGTGGGCCTGCTTGATGGTCACAGATCCATTTCGCCAGAGATCATTGTTGTGGAAAATTCGGGCCAGTTGCTGCGATTCTTGACGGAGCCCGGTCAAGCGATCAGTTTAATTAGTCAGGGGAAGCAATTACTCACTCCCTGAGTTGGGACCATTCTAGTGGGAACCAAACAGTTGTCAAATTGTTTTGGCCAACTCACTCAGGAAGTGAGAGGTTTATGTCCCCATCTTGCGCGCCACCGATCCAGAAATCCACGTGTTTTCATCCGGGGTTCCGAATAGGTGGGTCTGTCCTTTTTAAGGGTACCCCGCCCTTCCGTGTTGCTACCCCCCCCCCTCTCCCCAGATGGCCAACACCCCCCACCCCGAGCCCCCGAATCCTGTCATCTACGGTCCCACCCCGCGACCCCCTGAACTCGCACCCCGACACCCCGGCACCCCCATCCCCAGGCCAAGCCAACCCCAAACCGTAGACCCCAAATACACCCTAAACCAATCCCTAAACAATAAACCCTAAACCTAAACCAATTCTAAATCAACCCTAAACCACCACAACCCAACCAGAGGACCACAACCACAAAGGGGGACTGGCAACGCTGTACCATATAGATATATATATATATATATTATATTTGGGCAGGCTAACCTTGAATGGGTACGCGCAAAGAACCACGAAATAGTGATTTCAATTTATCGGGAATTGTGCGGGAATAAGCTGGAATTTCTGCGACTTATGCGGGAATTCAGCGGAAGTGGGAAGATGTGGGAAGAGCGGGCGAAACCCATGTCGAAACCTCTTCGAAGCACGCGTGGTCTGGACAGGCGGGACTGGCGAGAGTTACAAACATCGGGCAGCTTTTTCTATGAAAAAAAGGCCTGCCTCCCAAAAGATGCCATGAGCACCGCTCGGAAAAAACTCCCTGGCAACTCCTCCCCGCGTCTCAGCCTCTGTCGAAACCCTGTCAAAACCCTGGTCAAACCTGCCCCCAGTTACATTGGGGAAGGGCACCTCTAAAATATACGTGGCCATGGATCAAGAATCAAGAATCAAGACTTGGTCCGTCGTCCTTTGGGCGTGTATTGACAGTGGAAGAGAACCCACAGCCAGTGCAGCCAGCTCTTTTTCTGCTTGCGCGCGTGTCGCGTGGGTCTGTGTCCAGGTTCGGCAGCGTGTTCAGGCCCTCAATGGGGGCGGTGCCAACGCTTGGACATCCTAACTCACACTGTTTGGACCCGTGCAAGCCACCAGCGCTGGACTGGCTTTTGGCTAGACCACGTGTCATAGTCCTCTGAACTCTGAGAGCCCCTGGCCTGCAAGCAAAAAGTCTTCTGTTGCGACATGCAGGGACATGAAATGGACACAGCGTCAAACCACTATCTCGTATCTCGAGAGCAGCTGAGGCACGGTTCCATGCAACCGCAGGGGTTCTCACCCACCCGTCACGCAGTTCCGCCGGCGGCACAATGTCGTTTCGCATTGCCCTGTAAGTCTCCTCTCTCTGCGCAACTGTCCACACTAAACACATCTTTGTTCCGCTCATGAAAAAAACCTGCATGGCCTGGCCCGCTCCCACGCTGTTTCGGACACGGACAGGCTGCTTTGCTCGCTTTGCACGATTGTGGGTTCCGCCTTGCCGTGGGTTCCGCAAGACTTGCCTGGGCCTGAAGTGTGCACATCGGCTCCTGGCCTTGGTGTTGGTAGCAAGAGGCTCGGAAGGCCGGGTCCTCTGCTGCCAACAAGGGGCCAACGGGGCCGTCCCCTTCCTGCCTCGGCAAACCGTGCCCAAGCTTCAGAAGCGGTCGCATTGGCAGTCAAGGACTTTGATCTTGCTGTCATTGGTAGCTTCATTTGGCCGTCCTGGGCGACTGCTGGGATGCTAGTGGGCTTTGGTCTTGCCAGCCGCGCAACGGCCGCGCCCTTTCTTGGCACTGAGGTGAGCGCGGCGGAGCGTCTCTGAGGACACAGACCTGCGACTGACAACACAGTGTTGGTTGCAGGCTCGCTCCTCGCAGAAATGGGCTGCGGCCTCAGGTCGGGTGCTTTTTGCTTGACGTCCTTGGGTGCCTTGCAGTTTTGTTGTTGGTAGCCTGGTGACCAGGAACGGGGGGGGTGCTGACTCCATCTTTATGTGAGGCTCCTCCAAAGCGACGACGGAGTCATAGAAATGGTCCACTTTGATTTTGTGATGCGCAAGAAAGCCTTATATCCCTATCCCCTTGAAAGTGATGAGGGAATCATGGAATCAGAAGGATGGTCCACTTTGGCATCAGGTGGAAATGCTAGTCCGGGTGTGATCCAGCACTACACTTGATTCCATTGCCTCTTTGCAACAAAGCAGAGAAGCCCTCATGACCAAGGAACGCCCCGCAACGGTATCCACCCCTGAAATGAGCCTTGCAAGGCCCTCGCATCCGCCAGCAATGTTAGCCCCGGCCTCTGCGTCCGAAGGCGTCGTGAACACTGGGGTTGGACTCAGCGAGCGGACGGTCTCCGAAGCGGTCGAGCTCGGGTGGCATGGTTGGATTTTGTAGCTTGCGCGCCGGTGAAACTGCAGACAGGCAAGCTGTATGGCGGCAGCCGGTTCTTCCCACCCACGTCTTTGGCCATGAAGGTAGTGGGTGATCGAGTGATGGAGCTGGCGGCGGACGTCATGAGTTTGAAGCTATTTTTGCGAACTTTCCTGCAGCGGCCCATCATTCCCAGTACCGGCGGGGTGCCGAGGGGCTTGGCGAGGCTTGGGAAACACGATTGTTCATAGCTTGCACTCATACCTTTGTGTGTTCACCACTTAAGGCCCATTCCCTACGACGCAAGGCCCAGCAAGCAGAGGCTGTGCAGGATCGCATTTGTGTGGTAGTGCGCCCAGGGGCTTCGTCTTCTTCGAAAACGCTTCGGAGGCGTGCTGGGTACTTGATGATCGATAGCAGTATGCATTGCCGTGAAATGTGCATGAAGCGGCCCACCATAGACCCCCTCAAAATTTCTCCCTTGCTGACAGCTCTTTCTCCTGGGATGTCAATCCACTGCTTTGATTATACATGATCTCCCTTCCTGGAAAAGTGTGGCAAGTGTCGTTTTGACGGGAGCTGACACGTGCGGGGGACGGGGGTTTTGACGCGAATGTTGACAAGGGTTGCGACGGGGGTTTTGACGGGAGTTGCGACGGGGGTTTCGACAGGAGTTGTGACGGGGTTGACGGGTGTTGCGGAGTTGCGACGTTGTTATGTGATGCCGTTTGCAGATCTGATGCGGCAAGCCCCATGAAGAAGAGGGCCTTGGCGGAGGTGCAGGAAGCGCTCAAAGTGCCCAACGCAAAAAGGCAGAGGAAAAGGCCTTTGTTTGGAGGTGCAGATGGAAGTGACAGAGGACGTGAAGCTGTGGCAAGTGCAAAACGTGGCTTGCTGCAAGGCAGGTTGGATGCGATCCTGGAGGCTGCGCTGAAGGAGGATGGGCTCAAGGTTGGGGGCAAGCGCCTTTTGGCAACCATGCTTCTTCAACGCAATCAAGCCCTGCCGGAGCAGATGTTCGCCCAGGTGAACGGAGACTGGACTGCCACGCTTCGAGGATTTTGCATTTTGGGGTTGCTAAATATTTCTTTCATGTTTGCCATACTTCCGATCCCGGTGACCTTCCCGATCGCACGCAAGGTTCTCTTAGACCTTGAGCATTATTATCCACACTTACATGAAAGAACGGAAGGACTTGAAGCGTTGATTTTCAGCAGGCTTGCGGCTTTTGTGCCTGGAGTGTTCTTGCAGGCTGTTCTGTGGGAGACTCTTCTGGAAGAAGGGCGCCTGGCAGAGTCATTTCTGAAGTACCTCCAGAAGCACATCTTGCACAAAGTTGCCATCGGTGGATCAGAGGTGTGTGGGTGCCCATGTTTGGGGTAATGTCGGAAGCGAGGGGTAGTTTGCCAGACTTTTTGGCTGTCACGCTTTGGCTTGCACGAGTGGCACGCAAAGCCGTCACCTCCACCTTCACTGGAACACCAAGAAGGGATTCCGACGAGGCAGACATTGCAACTTCCAAGAGTCCGAAGTTCCGTAATTACTCACAAAAATGCAATCTGATGATTTCGTGATCCAAAAAGGGCCTGTCAACTCAGCAGTCAATCATTTTGTGACTTCGTGACCTGCGAATCATTTCGTGACCTGAAAGGGAATCATCTCGTGGCTTTTTTCGTGACCTGAAAGGGAATAATCTCGTCCTGAAAGGGAATCATTTTGCGGCCTAATTCGTGACCTGAAAGGGAAATTCATTGGGAAATTCATTTCGTGACCTGAAAGGGAATCGCTCATTTCGTGTTCTGAAAGGGAATCATTTCGTGGCCTAATTCGTGACCTGAAAGGGAATCATCATCTTGTGGCCTGAAAGGGAATCATGTCGTGGGCTAATTCGTGACCTGACGGGTCCTAGTTCGTGACCTGAAAGGGAAACGTGACCTGAAAGGGAAATGCCTGAAAGGGAATCATTTTGTGGCCGGAAAGGGAATGTGATGATTTGGTGACGTGAAATAAGATCTGATGATCTGGTGACCTGAAAGAGAGTCTGATGAGTTCGTGATTTCGTAGTCTGGGCTGTTTCGTGGTTGAAGCAAACATTTGTTGGGAGTCTTCGTAAAGGATAAGGAAAATCGGTTTTCGGGGTTAGGGGGGTATGTGCGGAAAACGTCACCCCACCCCACCCCACCCCACCCCACCGACAACTTCCAGGTGACGGAAGCTTCGGTGCCTGCGATGGTCAACTTGCTGACGGCAGCGGCCGTGGCGGCGCCAAAGCCCAGAGTGAGGGATACGACGCCTCCCCAGCTTGGTGGGAACCCGGCCATCCGGTGTTCGGGGTTCCTTAGGGTTTTAGTTGTTTGTTTTTTTTGGGTGGTTTTTCGGGGGTCTAACCCACGCAAAATTAGTCGCTTTTCGCAGGGGATCAGAAAACGGACAGCCCAGCCAGTGATTCCATTTCTCAGTTGTCCAAAGCGAATCGACCGGATCCGACCTTTGGGTTTTCCTTTTTTGGCAAGCTTTCAGGCGTGACCACCAAAATGTGATCAATTTACCCATGTGGCTACCCTTCTCAAAATAGGGCCGGTTCCCACAGGGAGAACAAGCACCTGTGTTGTTCAAAATGAATCGTTGGGCCTTGTTTGGCCCATTGGTCGTGACCCCAAAAAGGTGAACCTTTTATTTCCAGGTTTCTAAGGGGCAAGTGAGGTTTACCACTATAGGGCATTTGCCTATACGGTGGTTGATCAATATTCAATTTTGGGCCCACAAATGACCAAGGGCCACAGTGGATATCATCTTTTTTACTGGCTTGCCGCTGTATCTAAATCGGTATGGGGCCTTCTCAAAATAGGAATCGGTGCCCTGTTTGGGATGGTTTTACGAGCACCTGAAGGGGGTTCTTTGTGTTGGCGCATTTCATACCAACAGGAAGATGTTTGGTTGCCTACTATAGCGGAAAATTAGGATCCGCAGGCTTGCGTTTAGCGCTTGTGGAGGGAACTTGGGGAGCGTTTTCGCGAGCTATGATGTGCAAATTCTACAATGCTAGGTCTCCCAATAGTGCCCTTGTACCCCTTTTTTGGGGGAGGGTTCCCCTACTGAAATAGACTACAGAAAAAAAGACTCGGGTGCCCTTATACTAGTCCCTACTGGAGGACCTAGAATATGTCCAAAACCTGAACGAAGGGATTCCAAAAAGATCTTGGGCGGGTTGACTGGGTCTTCTCTGCCCAGCGCCGTGCTTGGTTTGACTCCGAGACAGCCCCCGGGCCCAGGCGGACCACGCGGATCGTTTCCAGGGCGCAAAGGCTCCGCTGGAGGCAAAGCGGGAGAGGCGGTGTGTCTAAGAGGAAGCCCAAGCTTAGCGGTGCCCAGCGGTCCGGTTCCCCGGAGGTTTATAGGGTGTGTTAGATGCTTTTCGTTGGTTTAGTGGTCCGGCTCATAAGTCTTTTAGACGTTCGTTTTGGTTGGCTTACTGGTCCTGTTCCTTTGGCTGTTAGATGCTCTTCGTTGGTTTAGTGGTCCGGTTCCTTAGTCTTTTAGACGTTCGTTTTGGTTGGCTTAATGGTTCTGTTCCTTAGGCTGTTGGATGCTCTTCCTTGGTTTAGTGGTCCGGTTCCTTAGTCTTTTAGACGTTCGTTTTGGTTGGCTTAATGGTCCTGTTCCTTAGGCTGTTGGATGCTTTTCGTTGGTTTAGTGGTGCGGTTCCTTAGTCTTTTAGACGTTCGTTTTGGTTGGCTTAATGGTCCTGTTCCTTAGGCTGTTAGATGCTCTTCGTTGGTTTAGTGGTCCGGTTCCTTAGTGTTTTACACGCTCGTTTTGGTTGGCTTAATGGTCCTGTTCCTTAGGCTGTTAGATGCTCTTCCTTGGTTTAGTGGTCCGGTTCCTTAGTCTTTTAGACGTTCGTTTTGGTTGGCTTAATGGTCCTGTTCCTTAGGCTGTTGGATGCTTTTCCGTTGGTTTAGTGGTGCGGTTCCTTAGTCTTTTAGACGTTCGTTTTGGTTGGCTTAATGGTCCTGTTCCTTAGGCTGTTAGATGGTTTTGGTTGGTTTAATGGTCCGGTTCCTTAGGCTTTTAGACGTTCGTTTTGGTTGGCTTAATGGTCCTGTTCCTTAGGCTGTTAGATGGTTTTGGTTGGTTTAATGGTCCGGTTCCTTAGGCTTTTAGACGTTCGTTTTGGTTGGCTTAATGGTCCTGTTCCTTAGGCTGTTAGATGGTTTTGGTTGGTTTAATGGTCCGGTTCCTTAGGCTTTTAGACGTTCGTTTTGGTTGGCTTAATGGTCCTGTTCCTTAGGCTGTTAGATGGGTTTAATGGTCCGGTTCCTTAGGCTTTTAGACGTTCGTTTTGGTTGGCTTAATGGTCCTGTTCCTTAGGCTGTTAGATGGTTTTGGTTGTTTTAATGGTGCGGTTCCTTTGGCTTTTGGATGGGTTTTAGTTGGTTTTGTTGTTGAGTGTCCGAGTTTAACTCACTAAAACATTGTTCACCCTTGGCAGTGGATCTGAGAACGGACAGCCTGGAAAAGTGGATTGGTTGTTTTTTCCCCCAGTTTTTAGGAAATTCGATTTGGTTTCACAGGCATCAGCGGGAATCAGCGGGAAAGGGATTCTCCGGTTGGAAGATGCAAAAGCTTCGCCTTTTTCCAGGTCCTTGGGCGAGGGGTCCCAGGTTCCACCGTCTTGAAACAGAAGCCGAAACAAAAAAACATGATGACAAAACTGGACAACCGATAAACAAAAAAGATAACGCCCTACTCAAGGTGTGTTTCGGGGGACTTCGGTACATGGGAAGTGGGTGTGTCCATTGTTGGGGGTAAGGCCCTTATTGGCCTTATTCTGCCCTGACGTTCGCCTTATTTCGGCCTTTCAGAAATCGTCAATGCCGTTGTTTCGGCCTTATTAATTCGCCTAATTCTTGCCGGATTTCAAGTCTTGGGGTTGATCGTACCCTTGTCTTGTTTAGCTTAAAGGGAAACCAATGGGAAAACCACTCGTTTGGGGGGTCCGATTCCTAGAAAAACACCCACCCAAGTAGGAACATCATCCATGGCGTCCTTTGAGGCAATCCACCTCCATGGGAGAGAGAGCTCGAGAAGCCTTGGGTCACATCCCCACACCAGGGGGTTCGCTTTGGTTCGATTTTTTACCGCGTGGCCACTCATTGGGCCAGGTTCCGTTGGGATACATTTGGGCCAGGAGCAACGCACACCACCTGTTCCAGTGTTCGATCCTCGTGAAGCAGGCGGACTTTGGGGAAAGCGAGTCGGCCTTTTTCACCTTCTGGTCTCCCTGATTTGGTCCATAGTTTTGAGGTTCCAAAAGGTGATCACCTCTTACTTCCAGGTTTCTAAGGGGCAAGCGAGCGTTTCCCGTTTCCTCCCTTTGCATCCTTTATTAAACCTTCGTGCTCCTTTCCGGTTGTTTTCTTGAGAGACCCTGCGTCCGCGCCGCCCGGACGCCAGGCGGCCCTGAATTCCGGGCGCGCGCTCTTGGGCAAGGATGCCACAGCCACCACAAAGGCGGGGGGGCGGGGGGGGGGTTGGGCGTTGTCCACAGCAGGGGTCCCCGCCAAAGTCCCTTTGTGTTTTTTTGGGCCTCCAAAAATAGCCCACCCCCACCCCCCCAAAAAAAAAACAAAACAAAAACTGCAGAGTTTCTGGACAAGTTTAGAAGAAGCTCAAAAAAATCGGGGGCAGATTGTCAAATTTATGGGGAGTTTTGATAGAGTCGCACCCGGATGGTTTGCATTTTGGTGTCCCTCTCAACCATCCAAGGGGGCAGCCCAGATGACAGGTGATACCCAGGGCCCCTAATTTTGGCTTCCCAAACACGATTCTTACCATTGATCACCATCCGTCTGACGCCCGTGATAGCAAACCTTGTTTTCTAAAAAAAACATCTCAGAAAGGCTACTTTGCGCGCAGGAGACCATCGCGGAGTGTGCCTCATGTCCAATCAACCGACAGAGTCCGATTCTTGAATTCAGCTAGCGGGTGACCTGAGCTTTTGGCAGCAATGAGACGGCATGTGTTCAGCATCATGTTGCCCTTAAATCTACCCACGTCCAGCCCAAGCCCACCTTGAACCAATCCTAAAAGATTTGGCTCAAGTCTTGCTGAACCTGGGCAATATCAACAGAAACCTCAAAAACGACTTTGCCGGTTTGCTTGCCCTAAGCTCATCCTAAACCAAAGCCAACCCCCACTGTGCCACAAATTGAATCAAGTCGCAGACCTAAATCAACCCCGAGGTACCTAGCGAAAGGGTCTCGAGCATATATGGGTATGGGTCAAAAATGGGTACCCAAAGTAGAACCCTGGTAAATGGAAGCATAGACTAAAACCTGCGGTCCAATTCCTGGTGGTTTAATCCTGACTCACACCCATATCACAAACAAATCCCTGGGTTGCAGGGGAGTGTCCAGGAACGCTGTCTTTGGATACTCAACGTGCCGACCTTGCATCGGTCGGTGTTTTTTTGTTCTGGTTTGAGTCGTGGCTCGGGCAAGGTCTCCAGAACCAAAAACAACATGGTATATTTTTTGGGGACTAGAAAAGGGACAGGGTCTGAACATCTTCTTTGTTGTCTGCAGACTTGGGCCAAGCAAAGGGCGGCCCTTTCTTTTGATTGCTGTTGGGGGAGCGCAAATCGGTTCAGCCCAGCGCGGTCCTTGATAGACAACAAACCATGAATGGCTGTGTTCTGAGGGTAGCTTCCCCATTCTTTCTAGGGATCCTTCTTTCTAGAAAGCCTCTTGTGTAGATTTGTTTTTGGAGCGAACAGAAAGCAGACCCACAGAATACACGGGTTCCCTTTGGGTTTCCTATCCAAAAACGTCACTCCAACAAAAGTTGCACCCAGCCAACACCCGGTCTCATCACCACCCCCTTAGAAGTTAAAAAGATTGGGGGAACCTAAATTTTCACGTAGCAAATCCGCACCCAACCACAGCCCGGTCTCATCACCCTTCAAAGAAATAAAATCTGGGGGAACCCATAGCAAATCCCAGGTGTCCGTTTTCCCAGCCCGTCGGCATCGAATGTCAGGAGGCGGATGCCATCTTCCCCGGTGTCACAGCCACCACCCTCTCAGGCGCGCGAGCGCTCCGTGGGTCCCACCAAAAGGGTCGCGGCCGCTTCTTGTGGTTTTTCTTTGGGCCAACGGAAAGAAAGTCCATGAAGGAAAGCTGCGGCGGCGGATTGTTCTGCTTGGGCTCGCGAGTTGTCTCGTATCTGGTTGCAAGGGCTCATAGCTTGATGCAGTTTCACAGAAGTAAAGGCAACTTGGTGGGAAACCAAAAGGAAAGCCACTATTTTGAGGGTCCCCCTCTTTGACACGTACCCATCTTATGTCATTGTTTATTCAGAAGGGAACGGGTCAGAGTGGTTTGTGTAACTCCCCTATGTAGCACCCAGCAGCATGCTGGCCGCCCAAGAAGTAATCACGGGAATTGGTGATGACCAATCTCAGTGGTTCTGTTTGGTTTGCATGTGAGAGGGCTGAAGTAAACTCGAAAGCGGATTGTGTAAAAAACGGCTCTGGATTCAGTGCCCCTCTAGGCAGATCTGACGCACGCGGAACAGGGATCTGCCTGCTGGAAAGCGCGAATTCTTCGAGTGCCAACGTCCATTTCCATTCTAAACACAGGGATCCGGATCTAGAAAACCTCCAAGCCAGGGAAATGGATCCGGTCGAAAAGAACCGATGGTTGGAAAGAATGGAAAAGGAAAATCAACCCTTAGATTTTGTTTTGCTTGTTCGGCACTTGGACTCTTACGACCCTTTAATCAACCCTTATATGTGTTTGTTTCTTCATTTTTTTCCGGCACTTGGACCCTTACGACCCTTTAATCAACCCTTAGTTTTTTTTTGGACTCTTACGACCCTTTAATCAACCCTTATATGTTTGTTTGTCTTCTTTTTTTTCCGGCACTTGGACTCTTACGACCCTTTAATCAACCCTTATATGTGTTTGTTTCTTCATTTTTTTCCGGCACTTGGACCCTTACGACCCTTTAATCAACCCTTAGTTTTTTTTTGGACTCTTACGACCCTTTAATCAACCCTTATATGTTTGTTTGTCTTCTTTTTTTTCCGGCACTTGGACTCTTACGACCCTTTAATCAACCCTTATATGTGTTTGTTTCTGCATTTTTTTCCGGCACTTGGACCCTTACGACCCTTTAATCAACCCTTAGTTTTTTTTTGGACTCTTACGACCCTTTAATCAACCCTTATATGTTTGTTTGTCTTCTTTTTTTTCCGGCACTTGGACTCTTACGACCCTTTAATCAACCCTTATATGTGTTTGTTTCTTCATTTTTTTCCGGCACTTGGACCCTTACGACCCTTTAATCAACCCTTAGTTTTTTTTTGGACTCTTACGACCCTTTAATCAACCCTTATATGTTTGTTTGTCTTCTTTTTTTTCCGGCACTTGGACTCTTGCGACCCTTTAATCAACCCTTATATGTGTTTGTTTCTTCATTTTTTTCCGGCACTTGGACCCTTACGACCCTTTAATCAACCCTTAGTTTTTTTTTGGACTCTTACGACCCTTTAATCAAATGTTTGTTTGTCTTCCGGCACTTGGACTCTTACGACCCTTTAATCAACCCTTATATGTGTTTGTTTTTTTCCGGCACTTCTTACGACCCTTTAGTTTTTTTTGGACTCACGACCCTTTAATCAACCCTTATATGTTTGTTTGTCTTCTTTTTTTTCCGGCACTTGGACTCTTTGCGACCCTTTAATCAACCCTTATATGTGTTTGTTTCTTCATTTTTTTTCCGGCACTTGGACCCTTACGACCCTTTAATCAACCCTTAGTTTTTTTTTGGACTCTTACGACCCTTTAATCAACCCTTATATGTTTGTTTGTCTTCTTTTTTTTCCGGCACTTGGACTCTTACGACCCTTTAATCAACCCTTATATGTGTTTGTTTCTTCATTTTTTTCCGGCACTTGGACCCTTACGACCCTTTAATCAACCCTTAGTTTTTTTTTGGACTCTTACGACCCTTTAATCAACCCTTATATGTTTGTTTGTCTTCTTTTTTTTCCGGCACTTGGACTCTTGCGACCCTTTAATCAACCCTTATATGTGTTTGTTTCTTCATTTTTTTCCGGCACTTGGACCCTTACGACCCTTTAATCAACCCTTAGTTTTTTTTTGGACTCTTACGACCCTTTAATCAACCCTTATATGTTTGTTTGTCTTCTTTTTTTTCCGGCACTTGGACTCTCTTGCGACCCTTTAATCAACCCTTATATGTGTTTGTTTCTTCATTTTTTTCCGGCACTTGGACCCTTACGACCCTTTAATCAACCCTTAGTTTTTTTTTGGACTCTTACGACCCTTTAATCAACCCTTATATGTTTGTTTGTCTTCTTTTTTTTCCGGCACTTGGACTCTTACGACCCTTTAATCAACCCTTATATGTGTTTGTTTCTTCTTTTTTTCCGGCACTTGGACTCTTACGACCCTTTAAGCAACCCTTAGGTTTTTCTTTTGGACTCTTACGAGCCTTTAATCAACCCTTATATGTTTGTTTGTCTTCTTTTTTTTTCCGGCACTTGAACTCTTACGACCCTTTAATCAACCCTTATATTTGTTTTTCTTCTTTTTTTTCCGGCACTTGGACTCTTACGACCCTTTAATCAACCCTTATATGTGTTTGTTTCTTCTTTTTCTTTTTTTTTTCCGGCACTTGGACTCTTACGACCCTTTAATCAACCCTTATATGGCGTTTTTCTTCCTCTTTTTTCCGGCACTTGGACTCTTACGACCCTTTAATCAACCCTTAGGTTTTTTTTTGCACTCTTACGACCCTTGAATCAACCCTTATATGTTTTTTTCTTCTTCTTTTTTTTCCGGCACTTGGACTCTTACGACCCTTTAATCAACACTTATATGTGTTTGCTTCTTCTTTTTTCTTTTTTTTTTCCGGCACTTGGACTCTTACGACCCTTTAATCAACCCTTATAGGTTTTTACTTGGACTCTTACGACCCTTTAATCAACCCTTATATGTGTTTGTTTCTTCTTTTTTTTCCGGCACTTGGACTCTTACGACCCTTTAATCAACCCTTAGGTTTTTTTTGGACTCTTACGACCCTTTAATCAACCCTTATATGTTTGTTTGTCTTCTTTCTTTTTCCGGCACTTGGACTCTTACGACCCTGTAATGAACCCTTATATGTTTTTATTTTCTTCTTTTTTTCCGGCACTTGGACTCTTACGACCCTTTAATCAACCCTTATATGTGTTTGTTTCTTCTTTTTCTTTTTGTTTCCGGTACTTGGACTCTTACGACCCTTTAATCAACCCTTATATGGCGTTTTTCTTCCTCTTTTTTTTCCGGCACTTGGACTCTTACGACCCTTTAATCAACCCTTAGGTTTTTATTGGACTCTTACGACCCTTTAATCAACACTTATATGTTTTTATTTTCTTCTTTTTTCCGGTACTTGGACTCTTACGACCCTTTAATCAACCCTTATATGTGTTTGTTTCTTCTTTTTCTTTTTTTTTCCGGCACTTGGACTCTTACGACCCTTTAATCAACCCTTATAGGTTTTTATTTTTTCATTTTTTTCCGGCACTTGGACTCTTACGACCCTTTAATCAACCCTTATATGTGTTTTTTCTTTGTTTTTCCGGCACTTGGACTCTTACGACCCTTTAATCAACCCTTATATGTGTTTGTTTCTTCTTTTTTTCTTCCGGCACTTGGACTCTTACGACCCTTTAATCAACCCTTATATGTTTTTGTTTCTTTCCTTTTTTTCCGGCACTTGGACTCTTACGACCCTTTAATCAACCCTTATATGTGTTTGTTTCTTCTTTTTCTTTTTGTTTCCGGTACTTGGACTCTTACGACCCTTTAATCAACCCTTATATGGCGTTTTTCTTCCTCTTTTTTTTCCGGCACTTGGACTCTTACGACCCTTTAATCAACCCTTAGTGTTTTTTTTGGGACTCTTACGACCCTTTAATCAACCCTGATATGTTTTGTTTGCTTCTGTTTTTTCCCGGCACTTGGACTCTTACGACGCTTTAATCAACCCTTAGGGTTTGTTTTTCTGTTGGACTCTTACGACCCTTTAATGAACCCTTTTTTTTTTGTTCTTCTTCTTTTTTTCCCGCACTTGGACTCTTGCGACCCTTTAATCAACCCTTATTTGTTTTTGTTTTCTTCTTCTTTTTTCCGGCACTTGGACTCTTACGACCCTTTAATCAACCCTTACATGTGTTGTTTCTCCTTTTTTGCTTCCGGCACTTGGACTCTTACGACCCTTTAATCAACCCTTAGTTTGTTTTTTGGGACTCTTACGACCCTTTACTCAACCCTGATATGTTTTGTTTGCTTCTTTGTTTTCCGGCACTTGGACTCTTACGACCCTTTAATCAACCCTTAGGGTTTGTTTTTTTGTTTGGACTCTTACGACCCTTTACTCAACCCTTATATGTTTTTTTTCTCCGGCACTTGGACTCTTACGACCCTTTAATCAACCCTTATATGTTTTTGTATTCTTCTTCTTTTTCCGGCACTTGGACTCTTACGACCCTTTAATCAACCCTTATTTCTTTTTTTTCTTTTTTTTTTCCGGCACTTGGACTCTTACGACCCTTTAATCAACCGTTATATGGTTTTTCTTCTTCTTTTTTTTCGGCACTTGGACTCTTACGACCCTTTAATCAACTCTTATATGTGTTTTTTCTTTTTTTTCTTCCGGGACTTGGACTCTTACGACCCTTTAATCAATCCTTAGTGTTTTTTTGGGACTCTTTCCGACCCTTTAATCAACCCTGATATGTTTTGTTTGCTTCTTTTTTTTCCGGCACTTGGACTCTTACGCCCCTTTAATCAACCCTTAGGGTTTGTTTTTTTTGTTGGACTCTTACTACCCTTTAATCAACCCTTATATGTTTTTTTGTTCTTCTTCTATTTTTCCGGCACTTGGATTCTTAAGACCCTTTAATCAACCCTTATATGTTTTTGTTTTCTTCTTTTTTTCCGGCACTTGGACTCTTACGACCCTTTAATCAACCCTTATATGTGTTGTTTTCTTCTTTTTTTTCTTCCGGCACTTGGACTCTTACGACCCTTTAATCAACCCTTAGTGTTTTTTTTGGGACTCTTACGACCCTTTAATCAACACTTATATGTTTTGTTTGCTTCTTTTTTTTCCGGCACTTGGACTCTTACGACCCTTTAATCAACCCTTATATGTGTTTTTCTTTGTTTTTCCGGCACTTGGACTCTTACGACCCTTTAATCAACCCTTATATGTGTTTGTTTCTTCTTTTTTTCTTCCGGCACTTGGACTCTTACGACCCTTTAATCAACCCTTATATGTTTTTGTATTCTTCTTCTTTTTCCGGCACTTGGACTCTTACGACCCTTTAATCAACCCTTATATGTTTTTCTTTTTTTTTCGGCACTTGGACTCTTACGACCCTTTAATCAACTCTTATATGTGGTTTCTCTTCTTTTTTTCTTCCGGCACTTGGACTCTTACGACCCTTTAATCAACCCTTAGTGTTTTTTTTGGGACTCTTACGGCCCTTTAATCAACCCTTAGTGTTTTTTTTTGGGACTCTTACGACCCTTTAATCAACCCTGATATGTTTTGTTTGCTTCTTTTTTTTCCGGCACTTGGACTCTTACGACCCTTTAATCAACCCTTATATGTTTTTGTTTTCATCTTTTTTTTCCGGCACTTTGACTCTTACGACCCTTTAATCAACCCTTATATGTTTTGTGTTTCTACTTGTTTTTCTCCGTCACTTGGACTCTTACGACCCTTTAATCAACCCTTATATATTTTTGTTTTCTTGTTTTTCCGGCACTTGGACTCTTACGACCCTTTAATCAACCCTTATATGTTTCTTCTTTTTTTTCCGGCACTTGGACTCTTACGACCCTTTAATCAACCCTTATATGTGTTTGTTTCTTCTTTTTTTCTTCCGGCACTTGGACTCTTACGACCCTTTAATCAACCCTTAGTGTTTTTTTTGGGACTCTTACGGCCCTTTAATCAACCCTTAGTGTTTTTTTTGGGACTCTTACGACCCTTTAATCAACACTTATATGTTTTGTTTGCTTCTTTTTTTTCCGGCACTTGGACTCTTACGACCCTTTAATCAACCCTTATATGTGTTTTTCTTTGTTTTTCCGGCACTTGGACTCTTACGACCCTTTAATCAACCCTTATATGTGTTTGTTTCTTCTTTTTTTCTTCCGGCACTTGGACTCTTACGACCCTTTAATCAACCCTTATATGTTTTTTTTTCTCCGGCACTTGGACTCTTACGACCCTTTAATCAACCCTTAGTTTTTGTTGTTTGGACTCTTACGACCCTTTAATCAACCCTTATATGTTTTTTTTCTTCTTCGTTTTTCCGGCACTTGGACTCTTACGACCCTTTAATCAACCCTTATATGTTTTTGTTCTTCTTCTTTTTTCCCCGGCACTTGGACTCTTACGATCCTTTAATCAACCCTTAGTTTTTTTGTTTGGACTCTTACGACCCTTTAATCAACCCTTAGTTTTTTTTTTTGGGGGGGGGGACTCTTATGACCCTTTAATCAACCCTTAGATTTTGTTTTTCGGCACTTGGACTCTTGCGACCCTTTAATCTTGAGCATGGCCAACCGCAGAGCTGTCGGCCATGCACGGCCAAGCTTCATGTCCAAGTTGGTGTTTTTTAGGTTGCCACTTGCGAAGAGAACTGGTGGGCTGGGAACCGCGGATCACGGAAGCATAGCACAAGTGGTGTCTCAAAATTGGCGGACCCGAAAAAACTGGCGTTTTCCTTTTCCCGAATGGATTCAACCCCCATTCAAAGAAAGGTTGACAAATTTGGATGGCGAACCAATCCTTAGAAAAGCAAATGGTGGTTATATGAACCCCCATTGGTTTAACGGTTTGAACCCCTGGGTGTTGGGTCCCATCTCTGCTTTCAGTCAGCGGAATGACGACCGGAATGACGACCTCCGGTTGCGAGGAGGGATGGTCCCGGATAAATCGCCCTGTTTAGCTTCCCGGACCAGAAACTAAAGAACGAACCATCGGAACTTACCCTGGTGTGCTGGCACGTGCGCACACAGTAGATGCATGTGGATATGTTTCTGTTTTAGCTGGCTCCTCAACCAATTAAAGTTCATACCCTCCCACCAATGAACATGGAACCTGACAGCGACCCGTTCCCTTTAAAGGAAAATGGCCCCTTTTGAACGTCGAACGGTTCCATGTTAATAGGGGGGGGCACCAGGGGCAGAAAAACCACTGCGAAACAGCAAATGGAAGGGAACCTCATCAAACCAAAGTTCATGGGCAACAAAACCCCTCTGCGCCCAAAGGGGGAAAGTGTCATTTCAGATTTGGCAGCTTGCAGGCCTGGCTGAGCAAGCCAAGGTCTTCAAGGCGACCGCTTTTCGCTTTTGGGGGCGTGGGGTAAAATGCCTCGCTTCCCTGAGTTCCGTCACAGGGACTTCAGTGGGCTTGGTTGCCATCCGAATGGTCAAGAACAGCTTAAAGGTTTAGGGCCCACAGCGACTTCGGCGTTTTGACCATGGTGCATAGATTTTTGCGAAGGATCCATTTAAGGAGTGTCCAACTTAAATGGTGCAGTTTGGAATTCTCATCACTTGCGAGCAGTGCCAAAGATCAAGTCCAGGACTTTTGTGAGGGTTTCGAGATCACTGTCAGTGACTTCGAGAGCCTTGTGAAGATGGCCTGAGCACGAGAGGATTTGGCTGCGGTGGTCAAAAATAGTTGGTAACCCCAAAATGTAAGCCTGGTAAATGGAAACATGGACTAAAACCTGCGGTCCAATTCCTGGTGGTTTAATTTTGACCCATACCCATTTGTTTAGATTTCGATGTTCCCCTTTGCCAGGGGTCCGGGCGTTTTCGGAGCGCTGTTGGTAGCAAGGCACTTCCCCGAAATGAAGGCAGAGCTTTGCCCACCCTCACCTATATCGTCAAATCGCGTCAGTCATGGAGGTCAAAATGTTTCTGGGGTGCTTCTGTTCACGGTTTTTTTCTTCTTTTCTTTTTTTTCTGTTCAAGGCAGAGCTTTGCCCACCCCCTTTTGGGACCCATAAGGTCAAATCGGGTAGGTCCAGTTGTCTGGGGTTCTTCTGTTCACGGTTTTGGGTTATCAAAGTCAGCAACTGGCGTGCCTCCCCTTGCCTCCCTTTAATCCGCCACTTGCGGGGTGACTTTGATCCCAGTACCATCCCTGGACTTTTCACCTTTTACTTCCATTGCCTCCGTCACTTGTGGGGTGACTGTCATCCCATGACCATCCCTGGACTTTTCGCCTTTTACGTGGTGCGGGGTTTCCGTCAAATGGGAGCTTTGGAGGCGAAGCAGCTTGCTCCCGTTTCTCAGACCTCGAGAAGACTTGAACCAAAGGTCCCCCCTGGGCTTTTGTTCACCATGCCTGGGCTTCAGTTCTTCCTTGGGCTAATCCAAAACTTCCATTTGCTTGAGACTTTTCCCCCGGTTTTTAAAGGGAATTGATTTCACTATTGGACATATATGTCTTTTGGCTAACCAAGCGAATGAGCCCCGGTTTTTGGCCTTTGCCAGGGGAACAACCACATCATCTATGCGGAGGACTTCTTCAACAAGGCCACCTTTGCAGCCATCAAGGACTCACGCGGAAGCCATTTTTGTCAGCCAAAGAAACATATGGGTATGGGTCAAAATCAAGCCACCAGGAATTGGACCGCAGCAGGTTTTAGTCCACGTTTCCACGTTTCCACTTACCAGGGTTCCATTTTTGGCTACCTATTTCTGACCCGCAGACATATGTGGGGGTTCCCTTTTCCTGGTTTCTTTTGCGGTTTCGTTGGCATAAGCGCCGTGAGACAACCCATAGTCCGTTCCGCCTTTCACAATGAGTCATTCGGGCGCCCGGCTCCCGAGTGATTCGGAGCATGTTCAAATGGCTGTGGTGGTCAAACATAGGGCAACCCCACAATGGATTCCATTGTAAATGGAAGCAAGTGGACTAAAACCTGCGGTCCCCGGTTTTGTATAATTTTGAACCAACCCCCATATTGCGGGCAATTAGGTTTTGTAGGGCAGATCGCTTTTGTGATAACAATCCTCCGTAGGAATCATGGGAGTCAACCACTTTGGTATCAGAGAAAGCGCTGATCCACATGCCATGAGCATGACAGTTGCCCGCATAGGTGTCCTTTTGGTTGATTTGGTTGAAAAATAGAGGGCGATGCCTGGCTTCCCTGGTGGTTCAATCAACTACCAGGGCCATCTATTTTCTCAAAAAGGACACCTCTTTGTGTGTGTGTGTGTGTCTGTGTGTGTGTGTTTCTCTTGTCAAAGACTTGGCAGGTACAGTGAACTCGCTTGAGTCGAGCGTGAAAAAACAAAAGGCTCCTTGGGACAAAAACTGCTGAGGCCGTTTCGCCAGACCATTTGTTTCCATTGGTACCCCCATTTTGGCCCAGCCTAAAGGGAACCAAGTTGAAACTGGCATTGCAGGAGTTCCAATTAGGGACACGCTCTTTGGGACTTTGGGAGATTGGACGCGGTTTGAAAGTTGGTTTATCGAAGGAACACACAATTGCTGTAGGTGCACGAAATCCAACCAGGATCCAAGGCGCATTGCAGTGTCATGGAAATATGGACAGTATATGACATTTCGAAAGATCATGTGGGGGTGTCGCAGAATAGGGGACCAGTTTTTGGATGGTAAAGGGACACCAAAAGGAAACCACCTGGAGGGGTCCACAATTTTGAGAAACCCATTTGGGCATGGGTCATATACAAAGCCACAAGGGTCAAAAGGTCGGCTTTGGACAGGGATGTGTATCAGGGCTTGTCAAAGTACTTTAAATCTAGGGCGATGTCGCGCAGCTGTCGCGCAGGAGGAGACCGAGCGTTTGTGGAGGTCCAAGGACATCGAGGTCCGAGCGATGGGGTTCGGAGCATTCCCACAGCGAAAGCAAGTTGCCTGCCCCCAAAGTCTATGCACATACTTGGTTTTGCTGAACATCTATTGTTGTTTAGACTATGTGTTCCCTGTTTGGTTTTAAAGTGAGTCTATTACTACCGGAAAGATGTTATCATTTTTCTTTGGGGCTTGAGAGAATGGAAGACAATATGTGGGTGTATACAAACTTATCGGGATGCGTATATGGTCTTGTTTATACACGCATATATATATATATAGATATACATAATATATATATATATAATATATATACACATGCGTATACATAGATACGTACATCTGAAACTTGTTGCAAGGTGCAGCCATGCATCCTGTAGACATATCCCACTTCAAGCTAGCTTCGTTTAGGCTCCAACTCTTTTCGATTGAACTGCATGAGTTTAGCCGCTTGGCAACAAGTTTCAACTCCCCTGCAAACTAAAATGGAGCCCGAAACAACTCAAGGGGGTGGGGGGCAAAGGGAGACTCCTCTGTGAAATTATGTGTTGGCGGTTGCATCAGGGAAGAGACACCGACTTGCAAAACACCCCGGCCGCCGTGGCTGAAAACGCTTCCGCGTCAGGCCAATTGCAACCTGGACGGCACCAACCGCTTGGGAGGCAGGCGGTGGAGATGTAGCCATGCTCTTGGCGTCCCCGGGGAGAGATTAGTGACTTAAAGTGCCTCCTGATTTCCGTGTCGGACTTTATACTTTTTTGGGGAGAAAACATGTTAGTGGAACTCAAAAAAGTTTGGCCTGTTTTTGTTGCCATCCGCTCAGCAAGTGAGGATAGATATAGAAACTACGGATTTACTCTGGCTGAAAGGGCAAAGGTGTGTACCACTCGATGTGCTGGGAAAGGGTTGATGGGTGACTTGAGTTGAGTTCCATGCCAAAAGCATGAAAGGTTCCACATAAACTCTCCGCTCAAACCCGGAGGACGCATTTGGCTTTTGCTTTCGTTGATGTGCATGCCAGGCTACATCCTGGACCTTGTCCCTGCGAATTCCAGCCTCTACCGCCTTGTGTATGGCGGCTCGGCTCGAACGCAGCTCCATGGCTCCCGAAAACTCTGTTTGATGCGGTCGAAAACCAACAAGATCGTTGTCCTGAACGAAAACGCCAACTACGTGCCATGTGTTCTCATTTATATATATATATATATACATGCATATTTCTATATACTCAGTACCACATAACATATGTATATATATATATATACACATATAATTCATATGTATGTATGTATATATACATATATACCGCGACGGGTGCACTTGCAGGCGCTCTCTCGCCGAGGCGCCGCGCATTTTTCATCATCCAGCCTTGCTTTATTGGCCCTTTTTCAGGGCTGAGACCAGTGCGCAGCCAGAAGTGAGTGGGTGTTCTTACCATTTGGCTGGCATGTGTGCAGTGCTGAGCGAGCGCACGTGTGCTTACCATGTGCCAGGCATGGGTACAGTGCTGAGATGATGCGTGAGCGGGTGTGCTTACCATGTGCCAGACATAAGTACATGTGAGCGACACGCGCGTGGGCGGGTGTGCTTACCATGTGCCAGGCATGGGTACAGTGCTGAGATGACGCGCGTGGCCGGGTGTGCTTACCATGTGCCAGGCATGGGTACAGTGCTGAGATGACGCGCGGGAGCGGGTGTGCTTACAATGTGCCAGACAAAAGTACATTTCAGCGACATGCGCGTGGGGGTGCGCTTACCATGTGCCACGCATGGGTGCAGTGCTCAGATGACGCGCGTGGGCGGGTGTGCTTACCATGCGCCAGACATAAGTACACTTGAGCGACATGCGCGTGGGCGGGTGTGCTTACCATGTGCCAGCACTTCAGCAGAGCAACTCTGCGCAACCTTGACAACAGAACGAGTTCGAACCTGACCAAACACTCAAGAAAGCATGCGACAGAATTCAGCTCAACATTGAATCATGTCCACATGAATGATATGGCCCCTACCATATGACAGGCCCCTGCAGAATCACAGGCCATGTAATTGCCATGAAAAGACGAACGAAAAATGTACGCAAAAGTCGTCTCCCTGAGGACTGTTGGCACTTCCTGAAATCACTGGTAAAACGCATGCGAAAGCGCAACGGGCTGTGCAAAGCGAAGGCTGGAAACGCACCCGTTAGCATAAGCATATATATATATATTTATGTATATATATGTACAGAATGTTTGTTTGTCTCCTTCAGTGGGACTATCCCGGCGAGCGTGTGAGGTAACGATCCTTTTCGGCAGTGGGTGTCGGCAGTGAACGCAGAGGCGCATGTCGGGTCGGATGATTTTTTTTTTCGCCGTGGACCTCCCGGCCTTGTTCTCTTGGTTTTGGAGTTCCTTGGTTCTCCTTGTTTGGGGAGGCTCTCCTTCATCCACGAGAAATATGTTTTGGTTGCCCGGTTGCCTTTTTTCTTCTTCTTCTTTTATGACTGTCCCTTTGCAATCAGCCAACAAAAAGGTGCCAGGATTGTTTTTTCATGGATACGGTTTTTTGTTCAGACATATCATTCCCGCGAGGGGCTTTTCTTTATCTACCGCTCACTTCCTGAGTTGCTGGACTCCAGCTGAACCGCTCAAGAAGAACATTTGAGTGGCAAGGAACAGGTTTGAACTTGTTTTGGTCAATCCGCTCAAGACCAAGAATAAGAAATAATTCCTGACGAATAAAGAACACCTCGTAACGTCGGGTGTCGGAGAACCGCCGCATCGCTAGGGTCCCATGTGGCCAGCGGACTTCCCCATTGAGCTGCGGGAGTATGGGCCCAGCCCCGAGAGATCCGAAGCCGGACCCAAATTGGGACTGGATTCACGGGATATACCGGTACTCTATGAACAAAACATCACATTGGTTGAATGGTACGGGGTTTACTGGGAGATACAACCAGGAAAGCCACATAAAGGTCCTTGGTGGAAGCCATCTTGGAATATTTTTGTTTTTGGACCGTGAGTTGCATGGGGCCCGTTTTATGGCACTCCCCTCCAATAGAGCGCTTCGGAACCGTCTCTCACGGGCGGAACGCGTCTCTGTTTCACGGAACGCCAATTGAAAGGAACCGGCCGAGAACCGTGGAGGGTTGCGAAATCCGCTTGTTGCACCACCGTTCAGAGAAACTAAGGTTTTCTGATTCGATGCCTTCCAACGGCCAAACAAACCATCAAACGTTTTATGGTTTCAACCATGCTAACTCATTTCTGGTTGGGGTCTCGGATTTCGTCCCAAATCACCGGGAAATATGGAAATTCCAGGGTCACCCATTTTGGGCTAGGTCCCCCAGTAGTGCCCTTTCTGACCCTTGTTTGGTTGGGAGGGTTCCAACCTACTAAAATAGACTACAGAAAAAAAAGGGTAGGGTACCCTTATTCTAACCCCTACTACTGGAGGAAGTAGCTCCCCCATTTTTGACCCTCCACCACCCTCATGCCCTAACTGCTCAGCCGAGGCGGGAGAGCAAAGGCATGGGCTGCCACCCGGACCTCCAAATGTACAAGGCGGATTTTCCGTTTTGTGTGTCTTGTTGTGCGGGGGGATCCCTATTTGGTCCCTTTTTGGGAGTATCCTTTCTTGGGGTATCCCTATTTGGTACCTTTGGAGTATCCTTTGGGGTATCTTTTTTTGGTAAGTTCTTAAGGGAAACTTTTCAAGGAACCGCCCTTTTTTGGGTGTGGTGTGTAAAGGAAGCCAAAAGGAACCATCCCTTGTGGGGGTATGTTTTTTTGTGGGGTGTGCTGTCATCCAAAAACCAGAAGGAACACCGAAACGATTTGGTTTGGTACCCCGTACCCCAAACCGCATAATTGTTTCGATGACTTGGCAACGCTATTTCGATGACTTGGCTTCAGCAAACCTGATCCAGAATTGATTAGCACTGGCCGGGCTGAGAGACAGTTTGAGTTTACTGGTGACTACAACATGAAGCATGTATATTTGATGTCGGGGCTCTCATCGTGATCTGGTGCTGATTACTTAGTAGTTGGCAAACCTGATCCTCAAGGACGCATCAACCATTTTTGTGTAAATCGATACCACCGGCCGGTGCCCCTTTAGCAGGTGAGTGTGTCAATTTTTGGAGTGTACGCTGTCGGATGTAGAGGGTAGGAATTCCCCGAAACAAAATGGTTTGGGTGGCAGGAATATCACTAGAGACAAACCCAGGTCCTCCCAGGTCTATTCATAAGGCCTTGCGGGTTTGATGGGGGATTCGCAAAATTCTGGGGAGGTCCATGACATTGGTAGGTTTCGGGGGATTGTAAGACACACTGTGGATGGACGAAATCCTGCACCGCCGAAGAAAACTTGGAATGATGATTCCGCAGTAAGTACCAACAAACAATGGTTTCCCATAGTTTCCATGTGGTGCGAACGGATGTCGTCCATCCACAGTAGGAATAACACCTTTTGCAAGGGATCGGCGAACCCACTGAGCTTAGGACGAAAGTAGATGTTGAACCATGGCCAAGATAAAAGGGGATAACTAAACGAGGGTTTGGATTTGTGCCTACTTCCAACTGCTATGCATGGCTCGTGTTTCTTAAGGTTGCACTAAGAAAAAACGGCGCAACGGTTTTCCTTCTTTTTGTTCTTCTCCGAAACGGGGGCACCACCAACGAAAAAAAAAAGACGAGCCGCCCAAATTTGTCCAGCGGCATCCAAGCGAGGTGCCCCGGAAGGACCTGGAGTTTGCCTTCACGGTGGACAACGACTCCCGGTGCAATGCCTCGGCCTCCGCGTGAGGTGAGACCAGACACCACAGGGGTCCCCCAGCTAGGTGCCCGACCTCTCACCAACCTTTTTTGGTTGGGAGGGGTCCAACCTACTGAAATAGACTACAGAAAAAAAGATGGTAGCCTTATTCGAACTCTCTATTGGAGGACCTAGAGACCATGAGCGGTCCTTTGGATCGGTTAGTTTGACTAGAAATAGGGTGGGGTTGCCCATTGAAGATGGGTGTGAGTAGCCACTGACGAGGGAAACCCATCTGTTTTCCCCAAAAGTATGGACCACACTTGGCTAAGCAAGACATCTAAGAGAGCAGAGACTTGTGTCACTGCTCGAACAGACATCTGAAACCGTTACCAGTTGCGAGTGGAAATGCATATTGGGTTTGCAACGTTGGACAGCGGACGTTATTCGATCCAAGGGGCAGACATTGATCCCATCCATTGGACAGGGGGTTGGCCACCCAGGGATCTCTCCGGGAAGACATCGGCCAGCAGTTCGGGACGACTTCGTGATACCTTCTTGAAAGACTTCTCTTGGCTTGGTGGCTCCCAGCCATCCCCTTAGCTTTTAGCCGTTTAGTGTTTAGTGGCAGTTCCCATGTAACCCACTAAAAGTTAAACTTTTAGCGGGGGATCTGAGGGCAGCCCAGTTGCGAGTCTTCCAAACCCTACTGTGGATGGACGAAGTCCATTTCGCACCACCGTTCAGAAACCCTGGAGTCTGGAATGATTCGCTTCCCTATAGATACCAACAAGGGTTATGGTGTCAACAAAGGTTTCAGCGTGCAGGATTTTGTCCATCCACAGTAGGAATAACACCTGTTGCAAGGGATCGGCGAACCCACTGAGCTTAGGATGAAAGTAGATGTTGAACCATGGCCATGTCAAACAGGGCATGACTGGACGAGGGGTTGGATTTGGGCCTGCACTATAAGGTTGGACCTTTAAAATGGCGCATGGTCCCCCCAACAACGAACGGGTACCACCACCAAAAGACGAGCCGCCCGAATTGGCACCCACGTGACGGCATCCGTTTCTTCGGGCAGCGTCTGAGGTGACCTTCTGGGATTTGGCCGGGAAGCCGCGAGCCCTGGGGCTCCTGCAGCCAAGTACATGGCAGGTGTCAGGTTTCAGGTGTGGCCAAGTTCCAGTGGCAACCAGCCCTAAGGCCTCCCGATGGTTTTTGGGCCCTCAACATGGGCTGGCCCTTGAGGGCCCTTGAGACATTGGTCCGGGTTCTTCATTGGAGAGCCCATTGTAGGGGCCTGAATTGTGGCCATGAGCCTTAGGGAGGGGATTTTGATCTCAGCTTGCGGAAGTGATCGATCTCGCGGCGATTGGATTTCTTTGCCATTTCTGGGATTGATTCATATGGGGTCAACAGAAATCTGGGGCTACCTTCCATTTCCATGTTTTACCCAGGGATCCGGATCTTTCTAAAGAACCACCAAAATCCCTGGGGAAACGGATCCGGTTTTTGAGAAGAACGATGGTTGAAAAGAATGGGCAAGGAATCAACCCCTAGAGATTCAGCGGACAGCGACGGCTTCGCATCATCTTGAGTTGTTCAGCAACCTTGGCTTGTTCACCAGCGAATCGTCCAGTTCCTTAGGTGCTTTTGGATGTTTTTGGTTGGTTCAGTGGTTGGGTTTCCATTCCTTAGGTTTTTCGTTGTTTGTATTTCTGGGTTTTTTTCGTTGGTTCAGTGGTTGGGTTTCCATTCCTTAGGTTTTTTGTTGTTTGTGTTTCTTTCTTTTTTTCCCGTTGGTTCAGTGGTTAGGTTTCCATTCCTTAGGTTTTTCGTTGTTTGTGTTTCTGGGTGTTTTTCGTTGGTTCAGTGGTTGGGTTTCCATTCCTTAGGTTTTTTGTTGTTTGTGTTTCTGTTTTTTCTTTTTTTGTTCCGTTGGTTCAGTGGTTGGGTTTCCATTCCTTAGGTTTTTCGTTGTTTGTGTTTCTGGGGTTTTTCCGTTGGTTCAGTGGTTGGGTTTCCACTTGACCCACAAGTTAAAAACTCGCGTTCAGCAGATCAGCAAACGGACGGAAAACGGACGGCCCGGGAGTTCGTAAGGCTGTTGTGGTTCCCATCCAAAACTTAGCGAGGCCTCGGGCCTTGGGCCTATTCCAAGCCCCATGCTTGGGGGGTCAAGCAGCGGGGTCCCAGTTGTTTTGGGGATCCATGGGGATAAGAAGCCCAAGGCCCCGGGATTCCTTCCCACAGCGAGAGGTCTGGGAGCGGCTTCCGAAGTTCCCAGGGCCAGACACATGCTGGTGCTATTGGACGCTGCGCATGTGGATGCTGGATGTTGATTCCAAGCCGGAAACTGTGCACTGTGCAGCCCCGCAAGTTCAGATCTGCACGCCAAAGAGTCCAACACGCTCCTCCCCGGGATTCCGGGACAGGGCTTGTCATCGCTGATCTTGGTACCTTGGTATGTTGCTTTGGTTCTGTTCATTCTTAATGGGAGTATTCCCATAATGAAAATGCACAGGAGGGTTTTGGGCCGAAAGCGGGAGTTGCGCCCGTGAGTTGCTCTAGGCCCCCTGTTAGCTCGCTGTGGGGGTTTGTTCATTTTTGGTGCGCCCTGCTAAACAAACGGAGCCTTTTTTTTAGTGACAGGGTTGCTGAACAACAAGAGCTTTGCGAAGGGTCGGCTGAGGCAGCACTTCGTCCAGACCAAGCCGAACTCTCTGATGATGGTCGGACAGAATCTCAGATATGTCTTTCTCACCTTCCCAAAGTCGGCCTTCTAACTTCTGGTCTGCGCGTTTTGACTATTTTTAAGCCAAGGTTCCCTCATCCTTCGATGTCCAGGTCATTCCAGGTCGTTTGGGCTGAGCTTGGCAAGAAGCAGCAAAACTGACATAGAAACAAAGGAGGCTGGCGACAGGCCATGAGTGACCAAGCCTGGATGAAAAATCCTTGCACCGACCACATGGGACACCTGAAGCAAGGGCAATTCTACGAGTTGGTCTAAAACTCGAGGGGTGGATTATCGATTCCTTTTCTATTCTTTTCAACAACCGGATCTGTTTCCAACCTGGGTTTTTGATGGTTTCCTGAAAAGAAGGATCCCTGGGTTCAGAATGGGGGAGGTACCCCTAGAAAAAAACTCCATCCGCTTGCTCCGTCCATTTCACAAAGCGATTCGTGCGACGATTGCATTCGTTTCGAGGTGTGAATGCGGCCACTCATTGTGTCTCGTCCACGGACGGCGGCACACGGTCCATTCTCAAGTTCATCTACGTCGCCTGGCTGCACCCCAAACCTAAATGCAACTGCTTCCATTTGTTTGAGGGGGTGAGACTCTAGAAGAACAACTCACTTCCTATGTTCCTGGACTTGTGCTTTTGGGTTTGGACCATTGTGGCAAACAAGCAGTTTGGGGACTTTTTCCCATGGCCACGGTCGTTCATGGTAACTGACCATAGTCCTGGTCTGTTGGCAGGGGGACGGGCCCCAATTTCCCACAAGGGGCATGTCCTCATCTCTGGGGTAGACTTCGGATACATGTTACATTTTGCAAGTGAATCAAAACGAAGCAAACAATAAAATATACATTCTATAACTGAGCCACAATCAAAACCCGGGTAGATGAAGGTTAGTATGGGACGATCCCAACCATAAATAGCTTTGGCCGCTTCCTTAATCCTGTACATGGTTCTGGGCAGACCATTTCAGTACCAGGTTTTGATTGCGACTCAACTGGGCCTAACTCTAATCATGATTTGCAAGCCGAAATTCTGCAAGGCCTTTTGCGGACCATGGCGAATGCACACTCCCAGACCTCACGAAGGGAGTGAGTTATGCAGACGAGAAAACGTCGCTGACGGCGGCGAGGCTTTTCGTATCCCCAAGATTCGCACGGCGTTTCCATGTTTCAATTCGACCAAGATTTGGACAGTTCTCATAAACCACCAGACCGTGATCTCGACAACCAAACCCGAACAGGTTGTTTAAAGAAGAGTGAGATCAACCATTATCCGCAAGGGGTTCGCCCAACCGCAACCTTGCAATTGCATCCCTATGTATCCAAGGATTATCCATTTCCTTGTAATGATTTATCATTGGCTTGCATATAGCAGTTTATTGGATGCATTTTTTCATGAAACGTGTGCGTGCCACAAAAGCTGAGGTGGGTGACTACAGAAAATCAAATGAGTTTTGGTATTACACGTCGTCGGAGCCCCAGTGCCATTGTCGTTGAGCGTGTGGATTATTCCGCTGTGCTGCCTGCAAGATCTGTCCAGGGGTCCATGACTAGGTCTCCCAGTAGTACCCTTTTACCCTTTTTTGAGGGAGGGTTCCCCTACTCAAAAAATAGACTACAGAAAAAAGAGAATTCAAGAACGGAGTACCCTTACTCCGATCCCTACGTCAAAATTCCGTACCCCCAGTGAACATACCAATCGCCACTGAAATAGGTGCTCCTACCCCAAAATGGTACCATTGGTTTTGAGCCATGCTCAATACGTCCAGGGGTCCATGGACATTCGTTCCGAGGAACGAATGCGACGATCAAAACCCCAATCGGCAGATGCTCGCTGATCGGAGAGCTCAAAGATCAGCCGAGGCGCGGTTTTTTGGCAGAAGACTGTTGTGTGTGCATCCCCCGTAGCAGTCATGGGAGTCAACCACTTTGGTATCAGAGAAAGCGCTGATCCACATGCCATGAGCATGACAGTTGCCTGCATAGGTGTCCTTTTGGTTGATTTGGTTGCAAAATAAGGGCGATGCCTGGTTTACCTGGTGGTTCAATCAACTACCAGGGCCATCTACTTTCTCAAAAAGGACACCTGTGTGTGTGTGTGTGTGTGTGTGTGTGTGTTTCTCTTCTCAAAGACTTGGCAGGTACATGCGTCAGAACTTTAATAATATTCAAAACAGAAACTTAGCCAATTCAAGGAATTCTCAGCGGTGATGAACAGCACAATTCAATAATGAACTACTTGTTTGAATCAACGTTTTATGGATTGCAAGGCATTATTGGGCAGATGTGAGCCTGAGTCATCATGGAGCGGTCTTATTTGATTTGAGACATTTAAATAATGATAATAATGATAATAATAATGATAAAAAATATTAATGATAATACTACGGCATAAATGTGTTTTTAAATAAACTACATCAAGCAAAATTAATGATGTTTTTTGAAGTCATTTAGCTTATTAAGTATGTTAACACCATATACTACAAGCATCATGCGTTGCTATATTTCTAAAGATGACAACTTAAATGATAGTCCATGTAGTGTGCTTGACCGTTCTCGTTGGCCTCGACATTCTCTAGCCATTTGAGAAGAGCTCGCGTGCTGCCAGTCGGCAGTTCTGGCTGAAACGTGCCATGGGCTTCGGAAAGCGTTTACATTCCCAGGACTTCAGGTTGACATCTTCCAAGGATCAGAACTTGTTCAGAGTCTTATATGAGCCGGGCCAAGAATATCGCAGAGCGAATGTAACGAAGACACCTTGCAAAACAGCCGGACCGGCTATTGCCATCAGAAAGTAGATTAGATATGTGTAGATGATCACATGTAATGTAGGTATGCGCTATGTATTCAAGTATATATATATATATATATGCATCTACACATCCAGTGAGCCAAACCATGTTCCCGCGCGACCTCCCGCGACCTCCCGATCTGCGGCATGGGCCTGGCGTCCAGCTGCGAATGCGAGTCCTGCGCTGCGCCGGTCGCGGGCTCCGAGATCTTGGGCAAGGCGCTGAGCGCCTTTGCCGACGAGGACGGACTCGATTCGAGAGCTCGGGCGAGCGAGCTGTGGCACCTTTGTTTTGTTGGGGAGTAAAAACCCATAGTCTCCAAAAGGGAATCTTTCTAGCTTGGGGACTGTTTTGTTTCTCTCTTTTTTCTGGGGAGTAGAAACCTATAGTCTCCAAAAAGGGGTTTCATGGGGTTTCCACCTTGGGGACTTTGGACTTGGGGGGTAGCAACCGGTTTTTGGTTGGAGTTTGGTTTTGATATCTCGGAGTTCAACCCGACAAGGTCCTTTCCACACCAAGCAGAAGGGGTTCCCCGACAAAGGCCTGTCCTTTTCCCGCAGTGCCCGTCCTATCCCGGCGCATCCCGAAGTGACTCGCTCTGCTTGCTAAGCACGTACGGGCATTTTTTCCTGGCCCTGACTGTCAAACCCCCAGCTTGCGCATGGCGGAGGATCTGTCGAGTGATTCCTCCCACGGCGCCTCGCCGGATGCTTCGGATGTGGCCATGGCGACTTGGCCGCTGCCAACAGTCGCGCAGCTGCGGCGAGGTGGCGGTCCGGGCGGAGATTGTCTGTCGCTGGGCACAGCGCGGGGCTCCTTAAAGGATACATGTTGCCCATTTGAAACATGGCTATTTTTCAATACCAAAATAAAGTTGGAAACCACCATTCGTTCAGGCGTATAATGTAAGGATCCCTGCAGCAGTTGGGAGCTGGTGAGTCGTGAGAGAATCAAGTTGAGAATGCGGAAGGAATCCATACTGTGGATGGACGAAATCCATTTCGCACCACCTAAGAAACCCTGGAATGTTGGTTCGCCTGTAAATACCAACAACCAATGGTTTCTGGTTTCAAAGTGGTGCGAGCGGATTTTGTCCATCCACAGTAGGAATTTTGAGTTTTTAAAGGAGTGCTGGTTGCTCGTAGAGTTTTTGGTGAAGAATTTGGCGGCAAGTCGGGTCGTACGGATGGAAATGGAGGACTCGGGAGACATCCTCCAAGAACCATAGCTGATGGTGCTGGACGTGAGCTTCAGGGCAGAAGTGTTCAGACCCGTGTTCAGACCCCTCGGCTTCCCACCCACTTTATCAGGGCTCCTTAAAAGATACATTTTGCAACCAATTGAAACATGGCAATTTTTTAACACCAAAATAAAGTTGGAAACCACCATTTACAAGGCAATGTTCAGGTGTATACTGTAAGGATCCCTGTTTATAGGGGGTATAGTACTCGTTTTGGGGAGAGGGGTATGAATGTCAGGCCGTTTGGGTTCATTTGCCCAAGGAGTATGTAAAAGGGGTATGTACAGGCACCCCTGCAAGCTTTCTTTGCGGTTGGGGAATATCCACGTCTATCGATTTTGTTCGGGATCGCCCTGGGTATACAGGGGTTGGCATTGGGGCAATCATTCCCCAGCCATGTGCCCATGGTAATGTGGTGAAACCGCTGTGACACGGGTGACGACATCCTAAAAAAACATGGTTGCTGTTTGGCAACATTTTACATTTTTGCTTATTGTGGTTTAGTGGGAAATTCCCACCTGACTGCTAAAATCTAGATTTTGCTCCCCTTCCACCGTCAACCAAGAAAAAGAGCCATCCAAATATCAACGGGGGGGTGGACAGCTGAGCCTTGAGGTCGGTGGACACAGAGGTCTTACGAACCGTCTCATTGCGCTCTTCCCTTCGCCAAGCGGGGTGGCTTTGGCGGCTGCAGCCGCGCAATTTAACGCACCGACAATTGGAAGCGTTGTGGCCAATGGCTAAGCCAGGAACTGGCTACGACATGCTTCTGGGCGAAGAGATGCTGTGTTTGAGTCGTTGAGGGAAAGGTCATTCTTTCCTTGGTGGCCCCCCCAGCCGTCCCCTCAGCCTTTTAGGCTTTTAGGGTTTAGCGGAAGTTTCCATTTAACACACTAAAAGCTAAACTTTTAGCGGGGGATCTGAGGGCAGCCCAGTTTCAAGTAGAATATCGATAACTCAAGGATTTGCTTTTTGTGTCGTGTCCACACTCATTGGCAGCTTTGCAGGTTTCTATCCCACACCTGGCACACACCGGGAGAGCGGAAGTTTTGGTCCCTGCTACTGGCCTTCAATTGGCACCTTGGACTGCTGGGATGCTTCGTTGGCGTCTCCGTGGCTTTGCTGCTCTACGCCATGGATGCGGTTCCTTTGGTGCATTTTGCCAAGGTGAGGACTTGAACTTTGTGCCAACTTTTAGGGGTTCGTTGTATGAAACCCACTAAACCGTGCTTCACTTTTCGCAGGGCGTCCCGCAGATTTCGCCACTGATCGAGGTTCCCATGCCGCTGATCTACGTGGCGCAGTTCCAGGGATTCGGGGAGGTGTGTCCTCTTGGCCCGTGGGCGCTGCTGCTGACGCCGCTTTGCGGAGCCTCGGCGCTGCTGCTGTCGCCGTATTTGCCAAGACGGGGATCTGACAACGTCTTTTTCGACCTGGCTGGCCGGCAGACATGGCAGATGTTGATTACTTCCCAAGAAAGTGTCTGGCGCAGGAGACATTGCGAGATTGAATTCCCGTGAAAGGGGCTTAAGTGGATACTAGCGATCGCTGTAGTTTATTTCCCGGCTGCAAGTGCAGCTGTTGCTGCCGCACCGATTCGAACCGAGGCTTGCATTAACCAGACGAACACCGAACTGAAGGAGAAAGGGATCTATGGCATCGCCGGCTGGCTCTCAGTGACCGACGAGCTGCGAATCCTTTGGAGTCCGCCCTACCTGTCAAGACTCTGGTGCGTAGCTGGCTGCAAATGCGCAAAAGGATGCAAACATAAGCAAACGAATATGCAAATTCAACAACACGCATGACCTTGCTGGATTTTTTTGAACATCGAGGCTGGCAAGAACCTAGGACTTCCAATCATGAGACATGGGATTTGATTCGTCACTTTCCTACTCCTTTTTACTCACCTCGCCAAAGCCCAGAATGATTTATTAGCGATTTACTGGATGGAAGGAATGGCCGCTCTTTTCCCGCTCCTCCCTTTCCAATCAATTCTCAAGAATGGAAAGTGAACGAAGAGAGTGGCCATTAACGATTTGGTATTGTCCTTTCCTTCCCCCGCACTTGCCGGTTGAGTATTTCTTCACCTGAGCGCCCCGAATCTTGAATCACGCCAAATGTCTTTTTTGCTTTGGGGGGGGATAGTTGGAAACCTGAGCCGATTCTTACACCATTGAACAAATGTTTCATACGTGTTGACATATTTAAAAACTCCGCCCAGTGCCGCCGACCCCTGGATTTAGTTGTGGTTTTCGAGCAACCAAAAACAGTGCCCTTGGTTTTGGTTTCTTTGATTTCTTTTTGACCCAAATGGCATCTGAGGCGAGGTGCCGTTTCGACAGTGATGCGTAGTCATGATTATGATCATCGCTGCTGGAGATGCTGGGGATGCGTAGTGATGATTATCCTCATGATTGCCAGAGATGCTGCGAATGATGCGTAGTGATGATTATCATCAAGGCAGGACTCCAAATCTCAATGACACAAATGGCATCTGAGGCGAGGTGCCGTTTCGATAGTGATGCGTAGTCATGATCATCGCTAGGCACCCACCCTTCGTAATGCAGAGGATGCTACGATGATAGTGATCATGACAGTCATCCGCAGCTTTGGTAATGCAAAGAATGCTACGATGATAGTTATCATAAGAGTCATCATCCTCATCATCTTCATGATGATTGTCATCATAGTCATCGCCTTCATCATCGTCATCGTGACATTCTTCTATCACGGTATTAGGCATCCTTGGTAACGCAGAGGATGCTACGATGATAGTTATCATGACAGTCATCCGCAGCTTTGGTAATGCAGAGGACGCTACGATGATAGTTATCATAAGAGTCATCATCCTGATCATCTTCATGATGATTGTCATCCTAGTCATCGCCTTCATCATCGTCATCATGAGTTTCTTATATCTTTCTTCTATATACATTTGAAATGCATCCTTGGTAATGCAGAGGATGCTACGATGATAGTTATCATGACAGTCATCCGCAGCTTTGGTAATGCAGAGGATGCTACGATGATAGTTGTCATAAGAGTCATCATCCTTATCATCTTCATGATGATTGTCATCATAGTCATCGCCGTCATCATCGTCATCATCATTGTCATCATCAATTGTCACATCATCTCTTCTTCTATCTTTCTTTTATACTTCTATATACATTTCAATTGTGGCGTTAGGCATCCTTGGTAATGCAGAGGATGCTACGATGATAGTTATCATGACAGTCATCCGCAGCTTTGGTAATGCAGAGGATGCTACAATGATAGTTATCATAAGAGTCATCATCCTTATCATCTTCATGATGATTGTCATCATAGTCATCGCCTTCATCATTGTCATCATGATCATCATCATCATCTCTTTCTTCTATCTTTCTTCTACATACATTTCAAATGTGGCGTTAGGCAATCTTGGTAATGCAGAGAATGCTACGATGATAGTTATCATGACAGTCATCCGCAGCTTTGGTAATGCAGAGAATGCTACGATGATAGTTATCATAAGAGTCATCATCCTTATCATCTTCATGATGATTGTCATCATAGTCATCGCCGTCATCATCGTCATCATCATTGTCATCATCAATTGTCACATCATCTCTTCTTCTATCTTTCTTTTATACCTCTATATACATTTCAATTGTGGCGTTAGGCATCCTTGGTAATGCAGAGGATGCTACGATGATAGTTATCATGACAGTCATCCACAGCTTTGGTAATGCAGAGGATGTTACGATGATAGTTATCATAAGAGTCATCATCCTGATCATCTTCATGATGATTGTCATCATAGTCATCGCCTTCATCATTGTCATCATGATTGTCATCATTATCATCATCTCTTTCTTCTATCTTTCTTGTATTCACAAAGATGAGGGCTGTGATGATATATATCATCGTAGCATCCTCGGCATCATCAGTGCCAACTAACAAGAGATGATGATGACCATGATGATAGTGATGATAAGGATGAGGACTGTGATGATAAGTATCATCGTAGCATCCTCTGCATTGCCAATGGGTTCTAACGTTACTTTTGAAATGCGAATAAGAATGAGATGATGATGATCATCATGATGATGATGAGAAGAGTGATGATAACTATCATCGTAGCATCCTCTGCATTGCCAATGGGTTCTAACGTTACTTTTCAAATGCATATAAGAATAAGAATAAGAATGAGATGATGATGATCATCATGATGATGATGAGAAGAGCGATGACATCATAATAAGAATGATCATGATGATGATTATGATGACAACTATCATCATAACACCCTTTGCATCACCAGTGCTGCCTAATAAGAGATGATGATGACATCCTCGGCATCACCAGTGCCGGCTAATAAGAGATGATGATGTTGAAGGATATAGAAATGAGGATGATGATGGTGTTGACGATAAGAATGATGAAGGATCATATCGATGATGATGATGATGATGGGCATCCGTATGATGCCAGTAGTCATATGCTTGCCTCAAAGATTAATCCATGCGCTTGAACTGCAACCACCCTTCCCGTGCGCCTCCCCTTTGAGGAGAAGGGGTCGGCGGATTTGTTGGCATTCCACCGGCTTGCCTCTTGACGCTCAGGTGTTTGAACTCGCTGCTTACCGGATGGCGAACCCGTCCGGCAGAATCACATTTCAGCCAATCTTTGTGGAGACCCTGGTGCTGTCGTCTTTCTTTGGCATTGCGGCTATCCAAGGGACATATCTCGCAACTTTGCAGTTTCCATCTGTGCAGGGGTTGGCCGGCGTTCAAGCTGTTGTATGTTTCGGCATCATTCTTCCCTTAGTCCACATTGTTCGTTCGTACATGCGAGAGAAGCATGCCGCCGTTTGGCAATTGGAGAACTTTGATCTGACGATGGTGGACTGTGACGTCGACTTCGACCGGCGATTTGTGTACGGCGCAATTCGCAAGTGGTATGGCAGCGAGGAGAACTTCGTAGGATTCGTGCGGGGAACCCTCGCGCAGGAATTGGAGAAGCGAATCTATGTGATTCAGGTGCCCTGGGTCTATCACTTGTTGACGGTATGTCCCTACTTGGGAGGATGGGTGGATCTGGCATGTGCCCTATGGAAGGGCGGTGCTCCTTCTTCTTGCGTGCTATCCTTTGGCATTGGCATGTGCTTAACATGTGCTGTCTGGGCAACTGTGAGTGTAGAACTGGTGTACATCCTCTCAGACTTCTTTGCTGCAAGAAAGAAGTCCCGCCTGGCAGACTTCATGGTGGATCTGGGCATTCTTGTGGTTGTGGCCCTGGTGGTGCTGATGCAAACCACCGCCAGCCGAGTGGCCTATGGTGCCGCGCCCTTCTCAACACCACAAGCTGATGAATCCGCTTCTCAGGATGCCTTTCTTTGTGTGAATAGCATCTGGGCTTCCACTACCTTGTTGGCGCTGGTGCTAGCGATTGCAGTGCTGCTGTTCAGGCCAAGCCTGAGACAAAGGCTCTGCCGTCGGGCCAAACATGCCTCGGGCCCCCGCCCCTGGGAGTAGACAAGGGAAAAGGAAAGGTCTCTCTTTGACCGTCGTTTGTTTCAAAGGCCCTTTGATTCTCAGAGTTTTTTGAGCTGAGCTGGTCGAGAGGCGCGAGTCGCAAGTCGAGAGACGAGAGGTGAACATCGAGAGTCGTGAGGCGAAATGTCAAGGGGCGAGAGGCAAAGAGAGATAGATGGAGAGAGAGAAACAGAGAGAGAGAGAGAGAATGGAGAATGATTGGTTTGGATTGATTTGTATTGGACATCTAGAAAAATATACGTTTTTAGTTATATATATTTTTATTTAATAATATATTATATTATAATACTTAAACCTTAATATATTTAATACATATTTATATATAGTGATATTTTGATAAATTTTATATTTTATGTTTTTGCTCAAATTTAAATAATAATTAAATTTTAGTTTTATTAATTTTATATGGTTGTTTAATATAATTTAAAGAATTATATTATATTATTTAAATATTTAATTATTATTATAAATTAAATATTGGGTATTATGGAAATTATGAATTATTATTTTTTGTAATAGAATTTATTATATAAATTAATATCTAATATTATATTTATTGAATTATAATATTCTTAAAATAATATATTTTAATTATTATTTTGATTCGGTTTTCGAATACATTATATAAATTTATGTTAATTTAAAAACCTATAGAAGAATAAGAATAATTGTTTAAAGGAAAACATGGATGAATGTTAAAATTGGAATGAAAACCGAAATCCTAAATTTTATAAATTTATAATAATTAATTTATTAAATTTTAATTAAATTTAAGAAATTTATAAAACTTAATTTATACAATATTAATTTTAATTAAACAAAAAAAAATTAAAAAACTAACAAAAAACAAATAGATAAACAAATAAACAAATAACAAACAATTAAACAAACAAACAAACAAACAAAAAAAAACAAAACAAAGACATAGACAAAAACTAAAACATAGATAAAATTAGAGAAAAAAATAAAACACAAAAACAAACACAGAAACAACAATAGACACAGACACAAACACAAACACATAGACATAGATAGACACAAACACAGATAGACACAGACAGACATAGACAGACACAGACAGACATAGACAGACACAGACAGACACAGACAGACACAGACAGACACAGATAGACATAGACAGACAGAAACAGACAGACAGACAGAAACAGACAGACAGACAGACAGGCAAACAGACAGACAGAGAAAAGAGAAACAGATACCAGAGATAGAGAGAAAAAGAGAGAGAGAGAAAGATACCGATAGAGAGACAAAAACAAAAAGAGACATACCTCCGGCGTATAGCGTGCCGGATTCTGATGTCGACATGCCACAGGCTTCGCCTGCGCACGTGCGCGCGTCCGACTCCGAGCCCGAGAGCCGTGATGTAGACGGGCTGCAAGAACACGCGTGCGAGCTCTCGGCTGCGCATGGATCGAGTTGTATGCGGCCGTTGGCCGCTTGTCCCCTGACGTCCTCGCCTAATGGAGCTATGAAAAATGGTTTGTCACGCACTTGTCTCGGCGTTGCCCCGCCGCTCTCCTTAATTACGACGGCTGTATTTTTGCTCGCGGCTAGGAGGTGGTTGTAGGTGTTCGGCGGCCCTCTGTTTGGATTGGGCACCCCGGGCTGCTACTGGCCCGGTTTGGATTGGTGATTTGGAGGGGGGGTGGTTTCCCATTCAATTTTAATATGATTTAGGGCTTTAATCCTTAAATCATTAATCTAAACTAACAATTAGGGGTAAATTGAGGCGGGCGCTAAAAAAGGGTCGAGCTCTTAGGGGCCAAGGTTTAGGATGGTGGGTGTGCCAAAAATAGAGAAAATCTTATAGAGCCCGCGCCGGTAAGACATTTTTGTAACTTAGGCATTAATTTATTCGTCGTATGTAAAAAAACATGTTGTCGTTCTTTAATCACAGATTGCGAGACATATTGAGGGCCGGGTTGGTCGCGATAAGGTTACGCCAAACAGTTAGTCGCCTGAGCAAGGTGAGAACGGATTCGCGGGCTGTTGGCCTTAAAAGATCCATATACGCGCGCAGTTGTTGTAAGCGCAAACGAAAATACGATCGACCAGAATATATTTTGGGTGCAAGCAAAGCCGAATTGATTTCGCCCAAAACATTGGGCAAAAACACTACTGGTCGCAACAAATGACCGCGGCTCACAGCTTCCTGCATCGCAAAACTCTCGGAAGATGGGCCAAAATTTCAGCCAAAATTGCTATGGACAGGCAGATATATGCCCCGATTCTTTATTTGGAAAATATAATGGTTTCGTTTAGATTCTAGACTATTTTTTCCGAAATATCCCGGTTATTTTGATAATTGTACTCCAGACCATTTTTCCGAAAGATTCCGGATATTTCGACGATAACATTTCCCGAAATATTTGGAATATTTCGGGCAAACGGTTCCCGAAATATGAAAAATATTTCGAGAAAATGGTGGATGGTTGCGATTAATTGGTCTTTACAAAAAATGAAATTATTGTATCTTCCGGAGTATGGTTGGGGTAGTCCGGATATATAGGAAATATGAAGTGGTTGTATCTTCTAGGGGCATCTTCCAGGGGTAGCCCGGACCAATTTTCCGAAATATCCGGGATTTCTCGAAAAAGCGGTTCGAGAAAACGCGCGCAAATGCGACGAGCAAATTTCACGATTTCGTTTTATAGAATAAATAATAAAATAAAAAAATCAATTACGAAAACATATTAATTAATTACATAAATATATATATATATATACAGATATTTATTGTTTTATATAATATGATTTTGAAAAAAAAAAAACCATATTATGAATTTTACAAAATAATATATAGATAATAAAATTATATTAATTTTGAAATTATGTTAAATTTAATAATATTTGAATATATATAATATTTAATAAAAATAAATTTAATTTAATATATTTTGATATTATTATTTTTTATTTTATTTCTAAAATACACTATAAATATTAATTAAGTCTATAATTATATATATAATATTATAAATATATTAGAATAAACCATGTAATATACATTCTGAAAATTAATAATTATCGTCTCGTTTCTTTTACCTTTCTACTGATATGGATTATGTTTTATAAGCAATACCGTTAGGATAACTAATTATTATAGAATTTGGGGTGTTATTAATATTTTTTGAAATTATATATATTAAATCATGTTCTTAAATATTTCTCACCCCCGACCCCCATATAACTCTATGTTCCGGCAACGCCTGAGTGCCCCGCCTACTACCAAAGGTTCTGGACATCTCCTAGTCATACGAAAGGGATTGGATGCGTCCCTTCTTTTTGATTGATCGATACCCGTTTGCGGGTGAATTATTTAGGAAATTGAAGCCTATTCTGAGCAAGCCAATTCCCATGAGCCTTCCTGATTCGGCCGCAACTGATGCTTTTGGAGCACTTTAGAAGGGGTCTAAATAAAAATTGTAACTCCCATGGATTGAAAGAATAGAACTTGGTGATATCTCATACAGGGTTTTCCAACACCGCAGGAATTGCGCCCGAAAAACGCTTTGGAGATAAGAATTGCCATTCTTTTCGGCCTAGGTCGGGATTATACATAAATTTGGTGCACATTTGGTTTTTTGAGAGCACCTTCTTTAGGGCTGACTTAAAGACAATTACAAAGGACGCCTCGGCCTAATTTTGTAGATCCTTCTTAATTCTACTTCTTCCTATTAATATTCCAAATTCAACAATCTCGATTGTCGGGTTTTCATTCCTTATATTCAATTTGGGGCGGCCCTCAACACTTATCTTTCTCTCTTTATAAATCCTAAAGGAAAGCATATTTAAATATATTTTGCCAAACATGAATTTGATACTTGTAATATACATTACTTACTATGATTCTATAATGGAAGAGTGGATAAGATTCTAGTGCATTTTGGTTATCGGTTCTGCGGGTGATGATGCTGATTCGGCGGTGAAGCATGGTGGAGCTCTCGGCTTGGGATGATCCAAAATAATGGTCGACATTTTGGAAAATAAGTGGAGTGAGTCGGAGCTTGCAAATTGATGAAATCTACATTACTAAGGAAGATAAAATATATATATATTATTTTTTTTTTAATGAAGGATAAATCTTCAAAAGGAAAAGGAAAAGGTAAGGATTGTCTGTTTATGTTAGTGGTTGCCTTTTGGCTTTAAAGGTTCCAAAAAATCTAGATAATATTAAGGACAAAAAGATGTTTAAACATAATATTGCCGGTTGGGTTATAGGTTACAAAGAAGGCGAATAAATCCATAGAGCTGAAATTTAAGAATTTAACGAACAATTAATGAACCAATTTTGAGGAAATTAAGGATTTGGATATGTTATTATAAGGGTATTTTGGATTATTCGATGTTTTATTTTTCTATTAATCCTATTGAATTAGATTCCAAAGAAATATATAGATTTAATTTAATTGGAGAGTAATTATTCGAGGATTTTGTCGGGCAATATTTCCATCGTGTCTATTTCGAATGTATTTTAGGAAACCAATTACAAAGATTTAAATCATAAAACCTATCTCTGGATTCTATTCTTATACATTTCTATTAATCTATCTTAATTGATTTATCATTTTCGCTTTCCCAAACATTCCGAGAAATATTGGCCGAAATTATAACTAAATCTCTAATAAAATTCATATTAATCATAAAAAAGAAATAATAGATATCGATTTATAATCTTGCCTCGCTTATCATTATATTCCTTGTTCGCACAAATTAAAATTCATTAAAATCAATAATAAATTTCATAAATTTAATATATCCATTAAGAAAAGCATTCGTTATAAAATCGATTAAAAGATATCCCAAATATATTCTAATGTCCGATATAAAAAAGAAATATATTTATTATTTGGCTATAAACATAATTATAAAATATATCATCTCCAACAAAAATAAAACAAAACACCGAAAAAGAAAACCAATAAAATACCATTAAATAACAAAAAGAATCCACCCCAAAAACGAA